ACATATTGATGGCAAGCCCTCGCCACTCGGATTCTTCTCCAGAAAGCTCTCTCCAACTAAACAGAAATACAGCCCGTACGATCGAGAACTTCTGGCAATCTTCGCCTCACTGAAGCATTCACCCACATTATCGAGGGACGAAACCTCATCATCGGCACCGACCACAAGCCGCTCACCAAGGCTTTTCAGCAGCGGCCCGAGAAATCTTCTCTGCGCCAGCTGTACCAATTGGACTTTATCGGCCAATTCTGCACGAACATCGCTTATATTCCAGGCGACCAGAACTTGGTAGCGGATGCGCTCTCTCGCGTCTACACCATCTCGATGCCTACAAAGCTCGATGCCAAGGCCATCAGCGAGACGCAGGCAAGCTCAGCTGTAGTCATATCAGAGGCGGACTCTACCTCACTCCGACTCCAGCCGCTGCACATCGAGGAATGCCGCGTCCTTTGTGACGTCTCTTCTGGTACTGTTCGTCCTTATCTGCCGCCGTCACCCCGGAGAGTGGCTTTTGACGTAGTCCATGGTCTCTCACACCCAGGTGGCCGAGAAATCAGTAGGCAGATTAAAGAAAAGTTTGTCTGGCCAGATATGAAGAAGGACACGATGCGTTGGGCACGTGAATGCATTCCGTGACAGCGTTCGAAGATGCATCGTCACACTCGTAACCAATCAAACCACATCGAGGTACTTGAGGCGCGCTTCAGCCACCTTCACCTCGACCTCATTAAGATGCCCCTGGTAAAGGAATATCGGTACTGTCTGACGATTTTAGATCGTTTCACAAGATGGCCGCACGCTATCCCGCTCAAGGACATGATCGCTGAGACTATCGTATCCGCCTTCTATAGAGAGTGGATCTCTCTCTTCGGCACGCCGATGACTATCACGACGGATCAAGGCGCTCAATTCGAATCTGCGCTTTTCTCGGTGTTAGCCCAGTTAATGGGTGTAAGCCGCATCCGGACCTTCCCCTACCACCTTCAAGGGAATGGAATGGTTGAGCGTTGGCACCGAACGCTGAAAGCCGCTCTAATCTACCAGGCTTCCGCGACGTGGCTGGACATTCTACCTACCGTGCTGCTCGGACTACGCACGGCTTTCAAACCGGATCTAGGAGCATCTCCTTCAGACCTGTTATTTCCGAGCACTTCCGAGCAGTGCAGCCGACACCTACGGCACATCACGTAAAGGCTAAGGTCTTCATGCACCAGGACCTTAGCACCTGCTCGCACTGCCGTACACCGGCTCCCATCGGGTCGTAAGTAGGATTAATGATTGCAGGTACATCATCGACGTGGATGGAAGGCCGTCCACGATTCCCACGCAGCTTTTGGTGCCCGATTATGTTGCGGAAGATAGCGGTCCCTGCGGTTCATGCACCTGATTCAAGTTCTGGGTTGCCTTCAAGTCAGGCAACCTCCAGGGGGGGAGTGTCTGTAGTGCCCGTACCGACCAGCCAACCTGCTCCGCCACCTGGCAGCACTTTCCAACAGCGACGGCATCCTTGGAAACAGTTGCTTGTGCCGAGGGTGGAGTAGACGGGAAGCAGCAGTCAGTTAGTTTGGAACTGAGCGCCGCGGAGCGGTCGTCACGAGAGTGCTCTACAGCAAATCGCTGCAACATTAGCTCCTTTGTGACCGGGCTGGTTTGATTTCTTTCCCCCAGGCGAATCCGTACCCACAGCTGTGGCACCCGAACCTCTGTGTAACAGTGTCCAAGAAATAAATCTAGTCTTCTTGAAGGTTGTCTTATTGTGCTTTCCTTCCTCGCGTATTCAGCTAGGATTCCATTCATCGAATGCGGAGGGTTGCATTGAAGTTGAGAGGATTACGCAGTGCCAGTGGACGATTCACGGCACTCACGCGCAGTTTCAAGACCGATCCGCATACTTCCTTACAAGTATATTCCAAACTTTACAACTCTTTCATTTACACCTGAGCTCTAAAATGAGTTTAAATCGATGAATTTTTCAATCAAGAGTCCAGTGAAATTCGTCCGCAGTCGAGTAGTGGAGGAACGTCTATAGACGGAGAGGTAAACATATATATATAGTAATAGTAGCGCACACCACGCTATGTCTTACTTTTTTGATTGATTATTTATGTCATTATTAATGCTATTTAAATAATTTTTTTTTGTTTTCGGGGTAGTTTAAACTGAGCTGTTAGATTCTTTTATAAAATTCACTTAGTTTATTTGATTTCTTACGTATGCCACCTGGCCTGAGAAACGCCTCAAAAACATTTCTTTCATGGACTCACTGCTACGAGATTTGCCATTAGTTCGAGTCTATCTCGATAACGTATTTATTCATTCTGCCTCTCATAAGAAGCACCTGCATCATCTACGCCTATTCTTTGAGCGCTTAAGAAAAGCTAATCTCTCCTACAAGTTAGCTAAGTGCCAGGTAAGTCTTCCCAGGATCACCGTCCTGGGCTACAAAGTCTCCGTCAATGGCATCGAGCTTCCTGGAAGGAAGGTCGCTGCTATCCAAGAATACGCCAAGCCCTCATCATTTAAAGCGCTGCGGCGTTTCTTGGGTATCATTAATTTCTATCGCTGAAGCTAACCGCACGCTGCCCGCATTCAAACCCCGCTCAACGAGCTTCTACGAAGCCTGCCACAAAGGAGTCGCCGCCCGCTAGTTTGAAGCGTTATAGCCAACCAGGCGTTCGAGGCGCAATATAACGCAGGCTGTTGAGACCGCCTTTCTCTCGTCGACTGCGCCACTCCGCCTATCCACTGACCCGTCGTGCTCTGCGATGAGAGCCGTACTGGAGCAGAGCGCTCATTACTTCTTCTCCCAGAAGCTGATGCCCACGGAGACACGATACAGCACTTATGATCGAAGGCTTCTCGCCGTTTTCCGAGCTGTACGGCATTTCCGACAGATCCTCGAAGATCGAACATTCACGATGCTAACAGATTACCGACTGTTAACTTTCACGGCTAGCCAACTTTCTGAGAAGGCTTCTTCTCACCAGCAGCAACAGCTGGACTTCCTGCTGCAATTCGACCGTCACTTTCAACACGTGAGTGGAGCAGACAACGTTGTAGTTGATGTTCTCTCCTACACGAGATACTGGCACGCTCAAAGCTCCGGTCGAGTCTCTCGTGCCGCCCTCGCCTGAGACGGACATCGTCTGTGCTACTATCGACATGCCCTCCGCTTTAAGCCTGAAAACTATCGCCAATGCCAGGTGTTGTAACGAGAGACCCTTGCGAATAGCCGACGGTAACTCTTTGGAGCTCCAGCGGTTCCAGATCAGTGGTTGTAAACTGCTCTGCAACGTCCGAGTTCGACCCTTTCTGCTGCAGTCGTACCGAAGGCCTTTGACGCGGTGCACGGACTGAGCCACCCGGAAATTTACGCAACCGTGCACGCCGTATCGGATCGCTTCGTTTGGCCCGGCATCCACCGAGACGCCGTTCACTGGACTCGTAATTTCCTGCTATGTCAGCGTGCCAAGGTATCGTGGCATAATCGGGTGAAGCTCGCCTTATTCCAAGAATTCGATGGAAAGTTAGAGCACGTCCATGTGGATTTCATTACGCTGCCTATGATGGGGAAATATCGTTACTGCTTCATCATGATCGACCGTTTCACCTACTGGCCGGAGGCTGTGCCGCTCGAGGACGTCAGAGTCGAGTCTATTGTCAAGGCTTTCCTGTCTGCGTGGATAGTCAGCAAGGCACTAGCTGACTACCCGAGAAGAAATTCACTAAATTGTTTATCGATTATATTTTTTAATAACGGCTTTAAATACTGCAGATTTATGATTTTAATGTCTTCTTTTAACATATTCTGAATAATCGACACTCTGTCACCAGCTTTCAATTGAAATTTTTAAATACCAATCAATTTATATATTATCACTGGTAAATAATTGAAACTATTTTTCTCAAATAATTGTTCATTGGGCGATTTGTTAGTCTGCTTTTTTTGTCTATTCGACATTTTATACGCACAACCCAAAACGATCACGCCGGTTAGATGGAGGTGATGAAATGTCAGGTTCAAGGTTAGGTTGGGTTTGACTTTTTATATCGACGCATGTGTCGAAATTTGAATTGTGTTTAAAAATTCATTTAAACAATCTGAGAAAAAATTCACAGGTTGATCAGCATGCCGCGTGTTATACGATGCTTGTCAGCCATTTAGCAAAGAGTAAAAACTGAACAATTACGTAACCCTCAACTGCGAAAGGGACATAAAATTTTCATGGACTGTTACCGTAAAAATTACGGTAAAAGATCTGTAAAAATTCTAGACAATTTTTGTAATTTTTATAAAATTTTCCTATAAACATTAAATAGTGTAAAAATTAGAGTTCATTGCTATAAAATTTATGTTACAGTCTACAGATATCTGTTTTACGGGGATGTCACTGTAATTTTTCCAGGGATTTTTTCTCCGTGAGGGCATCTGTCCAAGATTAGCTCCTATTAATTCTAACGTTGCGGCTACCTCCAATAGCAGTCTTTCTTTTTTATTTGTCGATACCATTCCCCACTCGATCACTGTGGAGTTCAGGTTGCCGCAATAATGTGACCCCGCGGTAGGTTTATCAACGCGTCCACAAGTCACATCAACAAGTCCTTCCGCTTTAATCTCTGATTCTCTGATCGTGCAATTTAGGGTTAACTAGACGCTGATATATGTGACAGTGCCCACCCTCGCCCAGACTTAGTTGTCTCCTGCTCCACAGCTAAGGATCTGTATAGCGTTAACCCCCGTATCACCAACGTGTCTTACGTCGCTTATTTTCGTCACGTACTTCAGGTTCAAGATCTCCAAATGTATACTGACTTCCAGCGTTTTGTCCCAGAGCTTGCTGAAATTGCTTCCAAAAATTGCGTCGTCTTGTTACTATTATTATTAATATTATTGTTATCGTTCTCATCATCATCATAATTATTATTGTTATTATAATTATAATTATAATTATTATAATAATAATTATTATTATTATTATTGTTATTATTATTATTTACAGTTCTTAAAAAAAGAAATTGATAGGAGAATTCGGACTCTGCCAAAAATACAATATGAACCAGATGTGAAAGATTTCAAGACTATCAGGAATACATACAGAATACCATCTCACTATCATCGGTTGCAAGCAATAAGTGATTTCAAAACCATAGGTAAATGAAATTTTCTTTTTTATATTTGGAATAAGATCAATAAATCAAGAACAGCAAAAGGCTTATAGTTTTCATTTACTACCTTGCACAAACCATTTTACTAATTCTACATGGAAAATTAGCATTATACCATTGATAAACCTTCTATTTAACTATAAGTATCTCCTATTATCAATAGAAGCTAGACTTTTATTTGACGATATACACCACTAATTAAGTTTATGATTTCCGTACTGTAAACCATTAAATTCATTAGAAGAGTTTTTCAGACATCCAAATTACCACTTTTGTTTATTGTTAGTAAAATTTAATGGATAATGCAATATTCTTTTCAGTCTAGAGATAATTTGAGATATAGAGTAATCTATAACTGATTTATTACTACCAGTCTAGCAAAGATGTGCGGTATGTGAGTATATGTATTAATTACTCAGATAAATTTCAATTTCTACATCATCATAAAATTAGACAATACATATATTATTTCTTCCCATGCTGTATAATAATAATAATTTAATTATATAGAAGTGTGAGAGTTAATCAAATAATAAAGTATGTGATATTCATAACGACGCTTCGTTGGTTTGGTTCTCTCTCTCTCTCTCTCTCTCTCTCTCTCTCTCTCTCTCTCTCTCTCTCTCTCTCTCTCTCTCTCTCTCTCTCTCTCTCTCTCCTCTCTCCCTCTCTCCCTCTCTCCCTCTCTCCCTCTCTCCCTCTCTCCCTCCCTCTCTCCCTCTCTCCCTCTCTCCCTCTCTCCCTCTCTCCCTCTCTCCCTCTCTCTCCCCCTCTCTCTCCCCCTCTCTCTCCCCCCCTCTCTCCCTCTCTCTCTCTCCCTCTCTCTCCCTCTCTCTCTCTCCCTCTCTCTCCCTCTCTCTCTCTCCCTCTCCCTCTCTCTCTCTCCCTCTCTCTCCCTCTCTCTCTCTCCCTCTCTCTCCCTCTCTCTCCCTCTCTCTCCCTCTCCCTCCCCCTCTCTCTCCCTCTCCCTCCCCCTCTCTCTCCCTCTCCCTCCCCCTCTCTCTCCCCCTCTCTCTCTTTCTCCCCCTCTCTCTTGTAAAATGTTTTTCGTCAGATCTCCTGGCACTTGTGCACTATTAATGGCAAAAAACTGTTATCATAGCAATTATTAGCTTCACTGGCCGTGCTGTTCCTGGAGCTACTTGTTGAATGGCTGGATAGCAGATTTTTACAATGAATTTTGCCCAACACCGAGGGTTTTTAAATACATGAGTCCATATATTTTATGAATTATTTTTACTTTATCTACATACCTATACCTTACATCTCCACTTAAACTTTGAAAATATTGACTCAAAGTCTTATTTTATTGAGTGTTTATATAAAAATCTAGCATACAGTGCTTGCAATTGAGATGTTATAATATAACAGATCGGTGATTATTTTATTAATTATTTTAAAAATTATCAGTGAGTAAAAAAATTAATGTTTATAAGAATGTATGTCAAAATGAGATTTCAAAAAGTTTTTTTTACATACAGTAAATCAATTATTATTAAATAAAAATTAATTTCTATATCGCGCGCATGGCTTTCCAAGCATTAAAAATAATTAGCTTATGGAACGAAGAAATTGCAGAAATCAATTTCGCGAGAAAATGATTCCGTTTTATCATTTTATTATTAAATCTAAACTAAAGTCAAAATTCAAATTTCATCCCTAGAGGCACGATATTGCCTAGTGACGTCGTCGTGGAACTGAAAACTGCTCTATTTGCTCCGTCATTGGATCGTGCAACAGCATCACGATATAATTTCCGACTATTCGTCATTGACTGATAATCACTTTTAAGTTCATTCCATAACCATAAGTAATTCAAAGTCTTACATCTATACGATAATGATATATCAAAAAGAAGGATATCATCATAATAAAAAGTAACTTATTGTATATTTTCGTATACCGTGCAAAATATATCATCATTGCTCCCGAATCATTGGTACAAAATCGATTTCGACCAACCTTAACCTTGATGTGGAGGCAGTCCAATTGCAACAGACAACTCATCAGAAGAACGAAAATGCTTCAGTCATTCATCGATTCACCCTGACCTATAGCAGTAAACTAACTCCTACAACCAGCGTAGACCGAGTTAATAAACACCCTAAGAATTTCAAGCCGGAAAGACTCCGTCCCTCCATTAAAGCTTCACTCAATCTTAATTTTCTTAAGTTGACAATCGCATGTTATCACAATGAACGTAAACACTCGAGAGAACGAAAGAACTACAAGAGTACAAGTCCTTCCACAGTCGTCAAAACTGTTTTCTCAAGTGAAATTACACATTAATTAATACAGAAATAACAAATCATTTATTTGAAGAAACTTTGTAAAACAAAATAACTTAACATAATTTCCACGACAAAGACCGTATAAAATTAAAATACAAATATCAAGCAAAAAATTGAAATGACGTCTATTTACTTTTGTGCAAATCAGCAGATTGAAAATCTTGTAAAAAGCGAATCGATAAATATAATTATTATAGCAAGTATCGAATTTAACTTTCATACTATAGTTAAGCTTCAATATTACAGTTTGTTCCGTAACAGACAGGATAGAAACAAAACAGTGACATATTTGCAAGTAAGACACAGAGGTTGTTAAAGACGCAATAAAGGAGAAGGATAGCGTCTAAATCGTAAGAATAAATGAAGGATAAGAGTGAGACTAGACGTGGCGATAGGTTTATATATTTGTCAATATAGTTACGGGAAGAATGAAGGAGAAAGAGGCACGGAGATTGTCCATTTATTTCCCAAGCAGGATTTTACGAGAAGCACCAATATTCTGTCCAGCTTGCGTTGCTCCTTTATTGGAGCCAGCCTGAAGACCGATTACCGTCTGGCCAGCTTTCAGTTGCTCTTCCGTGAATTCTCGTTTGCATTCATCCGCTGGCTTTGGTCCAAGATTTGGTCCCTTGAACTCTGGATGTCTGTAGGTCTGTTAAACCCCAGCAATAGATTCCTCGTTAGTATTAGTTTTATTCATTCAACTATGAAACCAATGATTTTCAAGCGATAATTTCGTACCTCGCGACCGAGGGCAAACAGAGTTGTAATAACTTGTCCAATGTCTTTCTTTTCCCATAATTCAACCGTTTGGAAGACATCGATATCCGCAACACCATACTCTTTGAGAGCTTGTTGGAATCTGTTAGGAATACGAAAAACAAAAGAGAATATAATCTATTGCAACTACAGTGTTTTTCCGCGTGAAACACTGACACTTTGTATATTAACGCGCTCATACTGACTTGTTGATGTTTTCCATCATTTTAAATTCTCCGCCGGATGTGTTGATTTTATTGATAGAGCCTGGTTTTATTTTATTCATTAGCTCACAAAGCACCTGGCCGTCACGAAGATAATCTTCGAAGGCACAGGGAAATTTTCTACCAAGGATTGATTCAATCCATTCTTTAGCTTCCTGCTCTTGCTGTGGGTCACGCTTGGCGGCAATCTATCGCGAATAATTCAACAAAATCATTCCTATCTTTACTTATATTATTTATCATCTTTACTTATCAATGGGTGATAATCTTGATATATCGTTATGTAATCACACATGTGAGGAAGGTGAGGGGCAACCCAAGCTTAAGTAACAAATGAAAAATTCCATTTAAGCATAGGCTGAATTATCTGAAATATTCTGAGATTAACTGAAAAGACTTAAATAATGAAACGTTGTTAAAATGGAATTTCTGATTTGTTAATTTGCTAACTCTGAGCTGACCCTCGTCACCGTCACATTCATAATTATTATTGACAATGGAGCATAGAATGAACAATAACCAAAGTTATATGTCTAATTGAAATCAGAAACATATTAGGAGCAAATTCGCAAAATAGTTTTCCAGAATAGTAAAGTATAAGCTTAGACAAAATGACAAGGAATGGTCGCATGAGAACACTTTAAGCGTGCAAACAAATAAAGAAAAATTTACAAGTTGGCAGTGCTCTTGTTGTCGCGTTCACGCCAATATTGAGTTACTAAAAAAGTGTAAACTAAAATGATATGTATAAAACCAAGACATGGCCCATTGAATGTAGTTAGCGCTGCAATTGCAAAATGTACGCGTGCACTACCGTTTGGTATAGATACCTTAGCGCGAACTTGACGTTCAAGAGCCATTTTGCTAAGTGGGTGCACCGGAGTTGACTAGCTCACTAAATAAATGGACAAGCAGAACTGCGTGGAAACGAAGCTGGCCGCGGAGCTTTTATAAAGAAGCTCGAGATCTGTCAACAAGTGTACAGCCCACGCATGACAACAGCGCGCGGGCATGCCATCTTAGCTAATATTAGGCGCACTATTAAAGCTACGCTGGATCAGCATTTTCTGTGCTTTTCGTGTGAGCTCAAAAAGTTGCGGTGGTTTCGCGAGACCTTGTACGACTTCTTTGCCCTTGTACATAAAGCTCGCTCGACACAGCAACGCTTCTTTCGCTGCATACACTCCTACCTATCTCTCGCCATTCTTGCTACTTCTATTTTTATTAACAACTCGCCTTTTTATGCTGTTTCATTTACTATCACGTATTGCGACTGTGCAAAGTTTCCTACGAGTAATTATCTCAATTATAATTTCTGAAATGTTAGCGTTTTCACAATCGTCTCTTGTGAAAATCTCAAAACCGCCCTCACTGTAATATTTTACGTACATGTAAACACATGGGGTAGATGTTTTTAAAAAATAGCATAATCATTTTCAGTTTTCTCCGCATTACCAAACGATTCGAGATTACAACAACTGGATAAGATAGAGGAATCTGTCATATTAATTCCGCTGGTTGTAAAATCAACTTGGCTATGTAGTCTTATTCAGATTGTCTCTTAAGCTTTCAGGTCAAGGCGCTGAGCTTGCAGAATTATCATATTTTTATCATTTATATACTATTTCTAACATTTATTTTTCAGGTCGTAACACTTTGCTTCTTGGTTCGTCTAATTTAATATTTGTTTAAACTTTTTTATTCACAATAGAGCAATTGGGACATCAAATTTTATCTTTTTAAATATACTAGTAATGGTAATTAAATCAGGTAATCCTCGGGTACACATACAAATATTTTAAATAATCATGACTCTGCTCATTATAAGATAAATAAAAACATTAACTGTTTAAATTTATTAAAATTTTTATGAAATTTAATTTACGCTATATTCGTTTGTAAGAAAATAAATTCGATTGTGGTGACCTAAGTATTTTAGTAATAGTTAACTTCAATGATTAGTTATAACATTATTTACTCAAATGAAACAAGAATATTTCTGAGTCACAGATAAATATAACACTGCTTACACGAAATGTTAACGATTTTCCTACAAACTTGTGTTTTAAATATTGCTGCTTTTAAACTTTTTCATTACAAATATACATATATACTATATGAAATATAGTATGAAAAAAAACTGATAATACTAGTGTGCCGTAACATATTTATACGTGCAAGCAGCATTGTGTCTCGTTTATAGATTTTTCATGGATCATAATATTCATTTTTAATATTTATTAATAATTCTTTATAAAAACAATGTAAAAAGATTTCAAATAATGAAATAATAAGTTGTCATCGAAATATTTCTACTGCTTCCTAACAAAATTGTATTTTCATAAAATCTACTTTCGCTCAATATAGAATATATGATCGGCGTCTAACTAACATAAAAATACCAAATTCGAACGTGTTTTTTTTATTTAAATTTTAATTCCCTTATAAAACAGTTATGGTCCCATGTTGTGAAGCCAAGATAAATGCTATCTGATTGGTTCATGCAATGTGCATTCTTCTATTTGAATCGAATTAAACTAATTTAAAAATGTTTCATCAAAATTATTCTAATTTCTGTTTTCGTTTAAATGTCCATATATAAAATCATTTTAATATTTTTCAGTCAAATTATATGCAAATACATCAATTATATTTCATTTTTAAAATTAATTTTATCATTTATACGTTTTGAACACAATGCTATTTTTTCCACTCTGATTATTGTTAGAAAGCAGAAAATTTGGAAGCTATATATTCCTTTGCATTGATTGTATGACTCTCTGATAAAAATCCTGAAAATAGTCACAAAGTCAAAGGTGTTGTTCGTGGAGTTGACGCATCTTTTCATATTCTAGTTACATTAAAAAAATCACAGTATATTACTATATCGAATTGTACCATAACTATCTATCAAATTAACTGTTTAACCCTTAACTACTGTGTGGGGTAGATTTACCCCAAACAATTTTTAACAATAAATAAATTTTTTTTTTTTTCAACAATTTTTTTCAGTGTGTGTAACATTAAAAATTGTTAACCTAAATATTTTTTTGTAGTAAAAGGTTTGAAATATACTAGAAAAAATTTTCATAGCAAAATATCTAAAATTCTCTGATTTATTCGATGTTTTTCGGGCTCGGGTAGATTTATCCCATCGAGCAGTTACGTGGCCAAAATGAGGTGTGCAAGTTAAGGGTTAACATCCACTATATGTAGTTGTTATATTATGTAGTAAATAAATAATTAACAAAACTGAATTTAATTATGATTGAATTTCAAATGCTCGATCTTATGAAAACTGAAGTTGCTTCAATTTTTTATGATTATTGTTATAATTTAATTTTTTTAATTGTTTCTTTGCAGGAATGTAAAAATTATGCTTTAATAGTACATTACGATACAAGTGCGGGAAAGTAGATTCTTGTCTCGTGTGGCGTTTACGCCCGAGCGAAGCGAGGGTGGAAAGGTACACGAGACGAGAAACTCTTTCTCGAACATGTACCGTACCGAATTTTTTGATACGACGTGTGGAAAGAGCTATTTTCAACGTGCGTTTTTTGCCGAGCGTGCGGGAATAACGCACTTTCCGCATAGAGTGTCGAAAAAAGAGGATTCTTCAATAAACACGAAAATTGTATGCAACAAGTAATTTCTAGTGGGTTTTCTGCTGTTATCAACTTGAAATGACAAATGCTTATCATAACCTCAAAATGATTAGACTAACTTAAAAACATTATATTGTAATAAAACTGTAAAAAAATATTCAAATTTTTAATCAATAGAAACCACTAAAATATTGCTCAGATTAATTATAATATTATAAAAAAAAAAAATTGTAATTTAGAGTAATTTCCTTATCACTTTAGAAATTAAATTGAATGGAATTACAAAGTTATTTTGAATTCTTAAGTTGGCAGCAGTTTATTGAGTATGTACGATTATCGTAAGATAATTGTCTATCTATATAATTGTCTATTGGAGAATCAGCCTCAAAACTTATATTGCGACAATTAAACGAATGAACCGAACAATTGAAATAATCTCAATTTAATGTTACTGTAATGAAGAATATGAAACTGCAAGTTATAAAATCGAAATTATGCATTTCCAATGAAATACAGTTGATTTTGCAAATGTTCCAAATTGAATCTATACTAAAAATATTTGTAATAAATGTTACGTCCTCATTTCAAAAAATCTACGTGTAAAGACAAAATCAAAACTAAAATGCTGATATATATATAAAACAGTGAAAACATTTAGAAAGCTCAACCTTTCTTATATTATCATTAGGATTAAACTTTTGAACTCTCAAGCTTTTTCGAAGACAATTCTTATTTTCCTGTATAGTAGACTAACATTTTTTGAAAAATTAAATAATTGATAATAGCTGATCGTTTAATAAAAATTAATGATTTAATAAACTTCAGGTACAAAGAAACTCCCGAGCTCGTCAAAAGTCAGACTGGTCGGAACTTGGAAAGCTCTCGTAGACATAGAGTTTCGAGTCAAATCAAGCTTTTAGATGCCTATATCTGTTGAAATATAAAAATAAAGTACCACATCTAAAAAAATTATAAGGATTCAAAATGAGATTGCGATTTAAATATACAATATGTAGCATACTTATAATATACAAATAATAAATACTGTATTTTGAAAAACTATATATTTATTAAGATTGGATTCTTTTTAAACTGTATCATTGTTATATTCTTTTATATTATTTTATCACATATTTTTTATTGTTTTTATTGGAAAGTTGAGCAAACTTCTCACGTACCCAACCATATAATAAGAAAGAACTTATGCAAATTGAGAATAATATCAAAAATATGTCAAATAATGTCAAAAAGGGCATTATTTGTACATAGATAATAAATCTAAACATAGCTCAATAGCCTATTTATAAACGCATAAAACTTCGAATCATATTATATATATGTTTGCGATTTCATACATTGATATGTTTAACTGTTTTTTTGCGGTACTTTCACGATGACACTTTTAACTTCTGTGTAAGATTCCAGACCATACTCTCCCAGCTCTCTACCATGTCCAGACATTTTGTAACCACCAAAAGGTACTTGATTAGCCAATACATTATATGTATTTACCCTATTATGCAGAGGTAAAACATGGTATTTGTTTTTTTTAATTGATAAAAAAATATAAATATATGTAGCTAGAATTTCAAATTAAATCTTACCAAACAGTACCAGCTCGTAATCCTTGGGTAATGTAATTAGCTTTGTCAATGTCTTTAGTAAAAACTGCTGCTGCTAACCCATAATCGGTTTTATTTGCTCTTTCAATCACCTCGCTAATTTGATTAAATTTTAATATTTGTTGCACAGGTCCAAAAATCTGACAATATAAATAGATTTTATTTTATTTCTTGTCATATTAAAATTTACATTAATAACATAACTTACTTCTTCCTTTGCAATTGTCATATTATCTTGAACATCAGCGAATACAGTTGGGGCGACAAAATAGCCTTTTTCGCCCAGTCTACCTCCACCTTGAACAAGTTTAGCTCCCTCCGATTTTCCAACATCAATCATGCTTAAAATTTTGTTCATTTGTTCTTCATCGATCTAAAATAATTTAACATACATCGATTATATAGTGTAGTTAATTAATGCCTGAAATGTAACTGATAAAGGAAATGTGAAAGTATATACTTGTGGGCCAGATTCATTTTTCAAATCGAAAGGATCTCCAACAGTTCTAGCTTTAGCTCTAGCTGCGCTTCGCTCAACAAACTCGTCGTAAATAGAACCTTCGACAAAAGTTCTCGATCCAGCACAGCAACATTGACCCTAAACAGATCATTGTAAGTATAACTCTAAATTAACAACAAGCCATAACAAAATTATACATAGTCATAAAAATAATTTTTTAAATAAAGTTTAGAATATAATATCGTTGAAATTAATGAGATAATAGTTTAACTTTCATTCAACCATGATTCGTTGAATCATCTAACGTGAAAAACATTTTATCTGATAGTAGTCTTCCATAACATGCATTTTTGTGCATGTGCAAATGTAAAAAATAGCTCATCTCGTCGAAATAAAATCGATGATTATTTATGCAATTAAAATATAATTAAGTAATTAGAAATATGTATTACCATCTTTAATAACATTCTGAACTAATATTTATGTAAATAGAAACCGAAAAGATTCGCACGTGATCAATGAAATTAATACTACGTAAAAAATGTAACAATTTTTCAAACAAGTTACCATGTTGAAGAATAAGCCAAAATGAGATGTTTCCACCGCTTCATCCATATCAGCATCACTAAAGATAATATTTGGCGATTTTCCTCCTAATTCTAATGTCGTCCTCTTTAAATTAGTTTTAGCCGCCCCTTCTGCTACCAATTTTCCAACCTCAGTAGAACCAGTAAAAGCAACTTTATCGACATCAGGATGGTGAACTAAACTGGCTCCAGCATCACCAAAACCAGGTACAACATTGATCACTCCAGGAGGAAAACCTGCTTCCTTTGCTAACTGCGCTATATATAAAGCTGTTAGAGGAGTTTGCTCTGCTGGTTTAAGAACAACGCAGTTGCCTAAAAAAAATAATAAATTGGAACATAGTTCAATTCAGTTCAAATACGAAAAAATAGCTTTTAATGGAATGTCAGTAGATTAGCGGAAGAAAAATACTTCCTAATTTCAGACCTAACATAATAATATTGAAAAAAGTTTACACTTGCAGACCATATAGCAGCATATAAGCAAGAAAGGTGTTTAATATTTTTTGTCGACTTTAAAATTGAAGATTTTGTATTCAACCTGAATTTTTTTGCTTATGTTTGCGCATATTTCTAGAATAGGTTAATCGATTTTTATAACAAAAATAAATTCATTATTTCACTTTTAACTTATTATTAGTTAATAAAGTAATAATAAATTAGATTTATTATAATTTTTTTAGGATTATCTCTTTTGAAAAGATCTGTTTCCGAGATGGTCCCAATGCACTATCGATTTGATTGAAGCTTAACTTTGCGAGTAATTACAAAATGTAATATTGGAGTCGGCTTTTTTCTTTTTAATAATTCATCTTGTTATTCAAACAAAAAATAAACTAAAATATAGTTTTTGTAATAAGGACCACATTCTATTCTACATTTTAGAACTAAAATTTGCTTTTTATAAAAGTCTAAAAAACTAAGAAAAAACATGTTTTTCTCTTTCTTTAAATAAACGTTAAAAATACGTAAGAATACTCATATTTCGCTAAAGAATAGAACAATTATATATTATTGAAGTACATTATTAAAAAATAACATTATTATTGATCTTGGTATAATATATTTCAATAATTAATCGGCATTTGACGATCGCATGATCTCATACGCGATTGATTAATCTGTAATTAATGAGACAAATAGTTTAAAGCAAATTTTTAACAAGTTAAATGATACAATTAGTACTAAAATAAAGAAACTGTATTTCATTAACATCAAATAGAAAATAAATAAATGGCACTAAATAATTAAGTTGAAAAATGTAACAATTATAGCATGAAGCTAATCTTTTGAGCTAATATTAAAATATTTTTGAACAATAGCATACCTGTTGCCAAAGCAGGGCCTAATTTCCATGCAACCATCAAAAGTGGGAAATTCCAGGGAACTATTTGCCCACATACACCAACTGGTTCATGTCTCGTATAAGCAAGAAATTGGCCATCCATAGGAATTACTTTTCCATGAGTTTTATCAGCCCATCCTGCATAATATCTGAGGGTTCCAGCACTTGCTGGTACATCAAAGCCATAAGCTGTTGAATATGGTTTGCCATTATCTAATGTTTCAAGGGACTATGAAATTATAAAGCAGGTAAGAAATAATAAAATTAAAAGAATTTAACATAATTAATGAATATTTGATGAGCTTACTGCAATATATTTACGATCACGCTCAATTAAATCAGCTAATCGGTTCAATAAAACTCCTCTTTTTGATGCATCCATCGTCCTCCATGGTGAACCAAATTTAAAAGCTCTCCTGGCAGCTTGCACAGCTAAGTCTATGTCAGCAGCATTACCTTGTTGAACTTCAGTAATAACTTCCTCTGTGGTAGGATTGCGAGTTTCAAATGTTTTCCCAGACTTTGATTGATGCCACTCATTGTCAATAAAGATCTGAAAATAAAAAGCATCATCATATTATACAATTTAATTATTTCTTCACAAAATGACACAATTAAAAAGATGTTAAAACTGTTATTCTTTTTAAATAAAATTTTGAATTTAATAAGTTCATTAATTTTTAAATTTCATTTTAATCTAATGTTTCATGTATTAACTATAGTCTTTTTGAGGTAGTTTATTTATATAAAGAAAATTTAATTAGCTATTATAAATAACGTGTATCCCTATAATTATATATATAATAAATACTATCATACTCATGAACAAATACTACTCATTTATGTACAAAGATCTCACCCCAGCATATAATATAGGAGGATTTGTATCAGGAGCTGGAATCGCAGCAGCGGAAAATTTACGGATTGTATCGACATTTTGAGCAGAAATCTTTTTTACAATTGAGCGTAGCATTGTTATTGATTGTTGAAAAAAAGTTTTGCGTTGAAAGCGTCTGTCGTTCACAAATATAGCATTAAAGCCGGTTCACTGTTCAGTTCAATGTATTGTGGCTGTGCCCGGTAACAGTGTGAAAGACGATAACCTTGGTACGTAATTATAAGTATAATATATACAAGAAACCAGATCAGATCACTTTTCTTTTTCTCACTCAACGTCGACACTTCGTATAGAATTCGCAAAAATGAGCACAGCTGCTACAAGTGGCAATCTATTGAGTCGGAAGAACGTCATTTGTATATAGGATTATGTCGTGAAAACATCGAGTTATCTAACTATTATCTGATTATATAGTTTTCTTTTCGAACCAAGGCAATCCACATATGGCTGTTACCAATGTTAACAGCAAATTTATTTAATCTGCTATAGAATTAAATATACGTTTTTGTTTGAATAATTACAGTTATGACCAAATTATAATAGATATTGAATAACTTTTTACATTGTTTATTTTTGGCAAGTAAAAATAAATTATCTTCTCATTTAATCGAGTAGTTAAACAAAAGTTGAGGAAAAATTTTAATTTTTTTATATGTTCAACTAAACAATCCCATTAACTACCATAAATTTTTTAGTAACTTTGTCTAAGGAAATTTCGATAAAAATTAATTTAAAAGTTCATCTCTCTTACACAGGCTCTATAGAAGCACGTAGAGAGCAGAATTATAAATAGTTAATTAAGAAATTGTTTTCAAAAACGAAATATATAAAAAATAAACGTGTACAAAAGTCGGTACAAAATTAAAAATGAGATTACCAATAATAAAAATCTTAAATAATGAATGAAAAGTTTATTGGTTTAAGCCATGCGGAGTGGGAGTTGTATGGGAGCGGTGCGCGTGGTGTGTGTCCTTTAAATATAACCTAAAATGGTAGTTGTGAACATTTTGGAAAAATAGAAACGCAACGAAAAAATATATATAAAATAGATAAAGTATATAAAAATATATACAAATGCAAAAATATAGATGCGTTCTACACTCTAGATTCCGGTCTAGATTTGTTGTTAAACGTTTTTAATATGTCAAGTGAAAAATCACAAATATATAAAACTGACCAAAATAGCCTGGTAAGTTGCATTGCTTTTAAACAATAAGTTTTCATATTATCTTATGTTAACACTACATAGTATTATTTGTTTTTATTGCAGAAAAAAGCAATAGAACTATTTAGCAATGTTAAAAAAGAGGGAAAAAGAAAAAAATGTGACGGAGATGAAAACAACTTACAAAAATATCAACAATATTGCTCTCCAATTATTAGTAATTCCAGTAAAAAGTCTAATTTAACAGCTTTAGCTTTTTCTCCTAGTTTTGCCCTAATTGAAATGCGTTCATGTTTAATGAGACATGATTGGATTAGCTTGCAAAGACTTTTTCCATTGTTATTAGAACTTCCAAATGATAAAGAAACAATAATATGGAGGTATGCTTTTACAATACTGCTGCATAGTCCAATAAGTAGTGCTGTTCATCTTGAAGAATTCCTAAATCTTTGTGTTGGTTGTCAGAATGATAATCTTAGTTGTGTACTAGAACAGTTGATAACACTGAACTCGTTAAAAAAATCATGAACTTATCTTGCTTACAAATTTATTTTGATAACAGTAAGTGATGAACAATTATAAAAATGTTTTTTATAAAATAATTTAATATTTATATTAACAAATAAAATCTATTCGTTCACGTTGTCCTTTATTCAGACGTTATTCAGGCAATAAGTCTTCGCCTAATTCTTCATCTCCAAAATCATCATCCCTTTTGCCTGCAGCTGTCATAGGTCTAGTTGGCAACATACCAACTAGATCAACATAATTGGTATCTGAATTAGCAAAAAGTAAATTAGTCTCAAAAAATATATTTGTTATTGATTAGTCTAGAGTTAGTAAATACCTTGTGTACTTGTATCTAGAGTAAATTCAGATGAATCTGTTCGTAAGATGTGATTAGAACGAACGTCCCCATTTTGGAGTGCATGATCTCCATGGAAAGCAGGACTTTTTCTGTTTTCTGAAAATAAACTCATTTCTGAACCACCACGAGATGATGTGCCACTATTACTTCTTCTTGAGCCTTTAAAAAATATAAGATTTCAAAGAAAAATTTCACGATTGCAAAGTTTTGCTTGTGCAAAGTAACAGAACTTACTTGTTGTTCCTGGTCTTCCTGAGCCCTGTCTTTCTTTATTTTCTTTAGCTTTTTCTGCTTTTCTCAGCTCAGAAGCATATGTCTGAGCATCTTTATTAAGACCTAAGTCATTACTTATTCTTACTAAAAACTTTAAACATTCAATATTGTCTGGAAATCGCTGATGAATAGTTTTGTATGCAGCAAAGGCTTCTTGAAATTGACCAATTTTTCTTAAACATGCTGCTACAAGTAATCGCCACTTAGGTTGATCAGGAGCTAATTCAACAGCTTCTTGAAAATAAACTATTGCTTTTTCAGCTACCTAAATATTAAAAAAGAAAAAGAAGACTCAGTAAAATATTTGTTAAATATAATTTAAAAATACATAAATACTGACTTGCATCGAAATAAAGTAAGAGCCTATCCAATCTATAACTTTGAAATTTGCTGGATAGAATCTGTAAGACTAGAATGAAAAAAATAAAATATTAAATTATACAACAGAGGAAAAATTATAGTTAAGAGAGAAAACGTACATCACTGTAATACTGATATGCTAACTGTTTGTCCTGTACATTATCATACATTTCACCTAACTTTTGCAATAATCCTGGATCAGACGGTATTATACCGAGAAGTTGATTATACCTATACAATATAACGCATATAATAAGAGATATGTGAACATTTAATTGTTAATTAAATCGATAGATCGATACCATTCTGACGCTGGTTCAACGTCACCGCTCAACTGATAAACATGTCCTATTTGATATAATGTCAAGGGGTCATATTGGATAATATTTTTAAGTTTCCAGAAGCATTCTAAAGCTTCATCGAGTAACCTTTGTTTCTTGTATACTAAACCTGAGGGACATATGATAAAAAAATCAGAAAAGCGGTAAAGTGCCGTAATTCGCATAGAGGTATACCTAAATTGTAGAGCGCCTGTACGTGATTGGGATCGTGCTCTAAAGCACTTGATAACAGATTTTTGGCATTATCGAATTCGTGTTTAATTATAGAGCATGCCGATAAATTAACATAAGCAGCGGCGTTATAATTATCCGCAGATTTTGCTGCTTCAGCATACTTTTCTGCCAAGTCATACTCTCCACGCTAGACATTTGACGAGTTTTCATAATATAGGATAAGTATTTATTGCGCAATTCAGATTATCTCGAGAAACAAGAAAATACTCACGAGAAAATGTATGAATGACAATACTGTGGACGCAGAGCTGTTAATTTTGGTATCTTGATTTTCAAAAACTTTAAGTGAATCTATGGCCATGCGCACTTGGCGATTATGAAGGAAAACCATTGCCTTGTTAATTTCCAAGTTAGTCGCTAGCGGGCTGTAAGCCGACGATTTGATGGCATCTGCACACCTACTCATTAGATAATAATTTTTAATGACAAACTTCAAATATATTGATTTCAACGTTTTCAATAATGAAAATTTGTTTCAACCATGCAAATCCTTCTGCAAGAGTTTCTTCGATAACGGGCGCTATCAGGTTCGCAGCGTTGAGAATCGTCTTTTCGGCATGTGCTTTCAGTTCGCGCTCCAGTTTTGACAAATCATCGCTCTTCACAATTTCATTTAAAATATTTGCCGCAATGTCATCCTAGAGATAATGGTAACAAAAACATATGAATCCACTAATAATCGTATGTAACAACTGATTATTTATTCGCATAATTGAACGAGCTACGCACTGTGCTAATGCTGTATTTATCGTCATGGTCAATGTGCAGAGGAACGTCGAGCAGCTCAAGAAAGCCTTTTTTCATTTTGTCCGTGTGGGAAAGTGCAAAATGACACAGGATCGCATGCATACCGGCTTTGAGATCCGGTTTTTCTCTCATCACCCATTCAAAGCTGTTGGCTGCTTCTTCCAACCGACCCATTTGCACAAAAAGCATTCCAATATTGTGCATTATTTTTATCCTGAAATTTACATTGGCATATTGTATACTGCGTTGACATAGTTCACTTGAACAAGCGTGTTTCTGCAACATACAACTGGACAACTGCGAGTACCTCAAATACTTCTGCGCCGTGGTCGTCTGATCCAAAGCCATTCGATACATTTTAATAGCTTGCGGCAAATCGCCCATTTTCACGTAAATATTGCCAATGTTCATTTTGAGCCTAGCGCTGTTACTGAAATTGCCATTTTTCGTGATTGCTTGATACGTCTTGATGGCGTCCGGATACATGCCGTTGTTGGAGTATTGGCAAGCTAAATTGAAAATGACCTGAAAGCATAGCGTGACATTGTCGAAAATATGGGCAAATGAAGCTGCGAATAAACGAGTACTCAACGGCAAAAGTTAAATTGATGTTGTGGCTGTCGCTCAAGCCGGCCTGCTCTTGGAATGTAATAAGGGCACGCTCTCGCGAGGAAGCCTCTCTTGCTCTCTCTAAAGCCACTTTTACATTTTTTTCATAGGCTGCTTTCGCCGACTCCTCTATCAAAGTCATTATTCTTCGCTCTGCCTGCTTTATTTTCTCTTCTGGCCTGTCACATCAATAAACAAAACTTTCATCGGCTCTGTGCAGCTTCGCTTCGTCGTTTCACCTACGTTTCTTCTTTTTCAGCTTCCGAGGGAAAATTTCTCATTGCACTGCCCATGTTCAAAGGATCGAAAGCTTGACGAGCTGCACTGGTAAATCCAGCACCTCTAACTGCTGTCATAGGTCGGCTGAGTGCTCCAGTCCCAGGCCTCCCAGTTGTACTACCTCTGTGAAACTAAAACACATCCAATTCGCAAAATTGTTCGAAAAAATTTACGTTTATTGACACACGCAAACTACTTACGCCTGAAGATGTCCCCAACCGCATACTCGATCCATGCAATCTCGGAGTACCCTAAACATAGATTGTTGAACATTTCCATGAGCAATCGCTGACTTATCATTTAGTTCGACAAGTTGAAAGATAATGATTAGAACAAACTTACGATAGGCCTAAAGCTATATCCGCTTTTAAGATTCTCACGGAAAAAATCATCGTGTTCTAAATCACCTGTAGAATATACCGACAAGTAATTGTTGTAGCTTCCATAAATATTGCGATCGACAGCCGTCATTTTAGAAACGGTTATATCAATAGGACTCTGCTCTGCGATATTCAATACTACAATGTAAATCGGCTGCTACCTAACAGTATAAAATCTGTTCTGCAAATGTGTTCCCTATTACCACGATTCCATTTCAAGACGATATTCTAGACCCTAGTTAGAGGAACATTGTTGTGGACATTGTAAGCATGGCAACGAGCTGCGTGCAATGCAATAAAAATACACTTACTTGGTTTAGACCCCCCTCCCACCGGTACATTTCTATAGCTAACTAAAATATATAGTAAACGAATTCATACATGTGATATAGTCTACGTTACGACTAATTAACTGTGGAGCATTCTACCTAGCAGTTTAATTATAATAAAGAAATCAACGATGATTTTGAGTTGTCATCGGTGTTTATGTTTATATCGAAAACTAAATGTCAGCATAAGTTGAAACCATAACAAGTGTTACTCCAGCTTTGATAAATTTTGTATTTAAATTCATCATTAAAGCTTTAATCATGAATTATTTCTGCTAATACAAGGACATTCAACCGTATTGAAAATCCAATCCACTTTGAGGCTATTTCTAAATCTTACAATTTAAATTCATTAAAGTTTTTTTTTTTTTTTTTATTTAACGTCGCTCTATTTATGCTCAATCAGTGCTAATCAGCGACGGAGGCTTGCAATGTGTTTGAGAACAAAACACATGAAACTTTTTTCAGTGGTGCTTGTATCAATCAGCAGGAACTGGGAATCGAACCTGGGCCTACCGGGTGCGAGTCCGTCGCCCTACCGACCGAGCCATTGCAGGCCTGAAATTCATTAAAGTAGAATGAATCTCAATCCACTTTAATGTTTTTTTTATCCGAAAATTAATTTAAAATATTATAATAATTAATGTTACGCTTCAAAACGAACAAGAGCACACCTGGTGCGCATAGCGACACCTTACCTAGCTCGTCGCACTGTCAAGACCTTAATATATATAGGCTAAAGTAAAATAATAATTCAAATTAGATTCATACGCGATCATATACGATCACACCGTAATCTTAGATTATGTATCAATACATGTCACAGCCTAAGGGTGCTCTTATATGGGAGCGGAAAGCGGACAGAGCGGCAGCGGACAGCCGATTCGAGCGGACAAAAAGAGAAAGTTTTGTCTGCTAAGGCCCTCGCCACATATGCGCATATGCGCGCGTACGAGGGCGTATACAAATACCAATGCGAAAACAGCCCGACACAAATAACATTTTATAAAAAAAAATGATCACATCTCACGTATGTATAATTGTACTTCTCGAAAAAATAATTATTTGTTATTGTACCATTATATTTCTCATAAAAAATAAAAAATATCGTTATCGATAATTCACCTCCTATTTATTCGCATAAAAGACATAATTAAGCAAAAATAAATTCAAATTGGTACAATAACAAATAATTATTTTTTCGAGAAGTACAATTAGACATACGTGAGATGTGATCATTTTTTTTTTATAAAATGTTATTTGTGTCGGGCTGTTTTCGCATTGGTGGCGAGGGCTTAAATCCCCAGTCCCATAGGTACATACATACGTATGGATGCGGACGGATACGGATGCGAATCGCAACTCTAGTAACATCACTAAAAATATCTAGTTCGATTATTTAGTACCAACACTACCGGTAGTGAGTAAAAGTGACTGTTGTTTAAAACTGTAGCGCCGAACATACCACATTTAATGTTCAAATGTCAGGTCTACAATTTACTTTTCAAATTTTCATGAATATTGCTTATTGATGAGTATGCTAATGTAAAAAAAGTTTTTGGGATGATTAATACATATCATTTATATATTTTTTCTTCTTCTTCTCATATATTCAAGTACTTCCATAAAATTAAGGCCTAATTCCACTAATTGTAGTTGAAAGTCTATCAATTCTCTATCATTTGCCATCTTATAGACTGCAATAATGTAAAGGTTAGATAAGCGTTCATTAAATGTGGTACGTTTGGCGCTACAGTTTTAAACAACAGTTACTCTTGCTCACTACCGGTAGTGTTGGTACTAAATAATCGAACTAGATATTTTTAGTGATGTACTAGAGTTGCGATTCGCGTCCGTATCCGTCCGCATCCGTACGTATGTACACCCAACGTGGATTGAATCGCGACCATGGAGACTGTATAAAGGAGAGGTAGCGGCCGTATCCCCTCCATGTAAAACGTTTGCGACCCACATCTCCGCACTGACCCTCTACCCCCAGCGCCTCTCTTGGTGATCACGCGAGATACCGAGTTACCGACGCGACATGTCCCAAAGAGAATTGCATATTCGAGATCATTATTTGAAAGAAAGATTATTGATGAAAATTTATGTGTAACAATTCGCTTGAGATCGAATACAATTAATTATAGTAAGTAAAATAAATAAACTTCATTTTTATTTATTGCACCAACTGATCAACAAAAATCCATAGAAATAAAAAAAAATAAAAAAAACGTGATTTGAACCTGCGATCGCAAAATCATACGGACGCCTTAGCTACCGCAGCTACCATGACAAGACAGCGACGTTGACATGAATATCGTACAAGTTCATCAAGGGAAAAGAGGCTTAAGTTTTAGTAATTATAATTACTTATAATGTCATGCATTCGATCTCAAGCGAATTGTTACACATAAATTTTCATCAATAATCTTTCTTTCAAATAATGATCTCGACTATGCAATTCTCTTTGGGACAGATCGCGTCGGTAACGCGGTATCTCGCGTGGTCTAGTCACCGAGAGAGGCGCTGGGGGTAGAGGGTCAGTGCTTGGCTAAGGCTCGGGACTAGCCGGAAATTCTTAGGGTCTGTCTCCATAGGGCCTGCCTGAGTCCGTCCGAGCCGGCCGAGATTTTTTATGGGCACGCCATCTCTATAATTTCGTATCCAATGGCGAGTTTCATAGTGAATGGCTGCGTTTACATAAACGAGCCCGATCGGACGCAGCCAATACGAGAAACGCATGAACACGAAATTATAGAGATGGCGTGCCCATAAAAAATCTCGGCCGGCTCGGACGGACTCAGGCAGGCCCTATGGAGACAGACCCTTATACAGTCTCCATGATCGCGACCCCCCCAGTTAGGTTGGTATGAGACTATGAGTGCTACTTTCAGTCCGTAACGGTGGTTTTCAGATCGGCCATAGTATAGCGCTCGTTCTTAAATTATATAATTAAAACCTAAAATCAAATAATCATGCATCTAAATTCATTGTTCAGCAAACAATTAATTTTAAACCTAAAAACAAATTAGTAACGTTTTAGCTTTTTATTGTATCTTAAAACGAATTTTCATTTTTGAATTTTCCCGCGGTTTCTTCGTTCAATGCAACGACGGAATTCTCATACCAACCTAACTGGGGGGGTCGCGATTCAATCCACTATGGGCCGGGGCCTTAGGGTCTGTCTCCATAGGGCCTGCCTGAGTCCGTCCGAGCCGGCCGAGATTTTTTATGGGCACGCCATCTCTATAATTTCGTGTTCATGCGTTTCTCGTATTGGCTGCGTCCGATCGGGCTCGTTTATGTAAACGCAGCCATTCACTATGAAACTCGCCATTGGATACGAAATTATAGAGATGGCGTGCCCATAAAAAATCTCGGCCGGCTCGGACGGACTCAGGCAGGCCCTATGGAGACAGACCCTTAGAGAGCCACCGCCAACTAGTGTGCTGGTAAACTAAACTAAACTGCACGCGAAACGGCGAAAAACTATGAAGTAGCCAAGTAGCGTGAAATGAACGAGTTGTGGTTAAATTAAAATTTTTTATTTTTATTAATTAATTAATTAATATTATACAACTTACCATTTAAATAATACAAAATTTTCATTTTCATTCCAATGAAAACGTTCTCATATTAACGGATTACGAATGTAATTTGATATTGTGATTTATGAAGCTATCGTTTTCTAACATTTAAAGGTTAGAATACACAAAACAGTGAATAAGTGTAGTATCACATTTATCAGTATCGTTTTTATATTCGGTAAATAATTAAAAATGTTAACTCCACGTTTTGAATTATCGCAAACCGAAGATAACTTAAAGATTATTATACATGCGCCTTATGCCAATATTAAAGACACTGTGGTCCATGTTGATGGAACAGACTTTCGTTTTTATTCCACTCCTTATTATTTGAGGTAAAGATAATTTTTTTCTTATCAGTGTTCAGCCAAATATACAATGCTTGATCAACATTTATATTTTATTATTGTAAGTAGATTGAATTTACCAGGAGAGATAGAAGAAAATGATGCCTCAACAGGTGATTACATTTGTGAAAAGGGTGATTTTACTATGACATTTTCTAAAGTTTGTAAAGGTGAACACTTTGAAAATTTGGATATGATAACAACTTTATTAGCTCCAATAAAGAAAAAAACCAATTTTGTGCCAACAATAGAAGTTATTAGTAAGTTCTTTTATTTATATCATTACATTACCATGTTGATATATTGCTTATCTTTATATTTTTCAAACATATTAGAATACAAGTCCAATACTTTTTTGGAGTGAAAATTTTATACAGAAGGATTATACCAATTCACCATTCCATGAATCACTTACCATTATGTTAATTAATTTGAAGATTTTAACGACATTTATTGATAATTTATGGTGCTTCTGATTTTAGGTAATCCATGTATTTTCGATGATGACTTGAGTGAAAACGAATTTAATACTGAAAATATAGACAATGATGATAGTGAAACTGCTAATGAATGGTCAACTCCTCAAAATCCAATAACATTGGCTAGTGAAGTGTCATTGGACTCTCCAAAATATGGATTTGGAAATAAAATTTCTGGCGCCTTAAATGCTTTTGAAGTAATTCTGCTAAGTTACATAAGTAAATCAATAGCGTGCTTAAAGTTATAATTTTTAAAATTATACTTCAATATGTAAAATATTGTACTCTGTTTAATTTTATATTGTACTACTTTCTGTATTATTATTTTAGGATTCATGGATTAGAGAAATCATAGATTTACCTTTACCAGACAAGACATTGCCAGAAAATCGTCAAAAGTTGCGTGAAAAGCATGAACTTGAGAGTTTCAATGAAGAATATTATATGGCTGATTTAATGGAACCTGAATGTGTTGAATCATATTTGTCATATAAATGTGATTTGGAAAAAGGTACAGAGGGTGAAGTAAAGTTTGATGATACAGAAAAAGATATACTGAAAGAGTTACCTAACAAGGAATACTTATTGAATGAGAATGAAATAAAAACAGTATTATATAGTATGATTGATATACTCTTTGCGAGTTGCTATAATTATCGAATAACACTTGGAGAAAATAATGTTGAGAGTGGTTGGACAATAAGTAAATTAAGCGCAACACTTTCCTGGTTTCAAGTATGTTTATATAAATAAAATTTATAATAGTTCAAGATAGGAATATAAATATTAAACAAAGATTTAATTTCAGAATTTTACAAATCTACACGACGTAATATTAAGTAGCATTCGACGTTCATTGTGCTATCCACAAGTAAGAAATTGGAATCTTTCTATGAAAATTTTTCAAGATGTAAGAGACATTGTCAAATTAGGTAGGACCATTTTAGATTTATTTCCTTGATTTTTTTAAATTTCACAATGGTACAAGAATGCGGGTAACTAAAAATTATGCAAAATATATACATTTCAGGTAAAAAATATATAATCAAACGTTTTTGCGAAATCCACTCAATATTCAATAATTCATATGAACCAAGATATGTCTTGAATCAATTATATATAAAGGACTACCTCATATGGTTACAACAACTTCCAGATTCGAAAATAAAAGAAGTTGACTTATGGTTGGAAAATGTAAATATATCAAGATGAATGAGTGTCACATAAATTAAAACAAATCATAATTCATTTACTGCTTTTAGATTGATATTAAAAAGGAAGAACTAGGTTTGGACCTCGTTGAGCTAGAAGAAGCTGCGTATTCTGTTCAAGAAGAAAACTTGGTTATAGAAAATGAAATAAAAATCGTGTATAATTTACCAGATGATTTACAAAAGCTTGTTATCAGTAGTAATGCTAACAAGTAAGTAACTGTCGAAACTATTTTTAACTTAATGCAGTTGTTTACAATTTGTTTTACTGTTACTTTTATATTAATTTAAAATTGAATGAATTAACTTCAGACAGCAAACTGGTCATCCAAAATTAATAACTTATAGCGACAGCGATTCGGAATCTGATAGTTTAAGCTTTTCAAGTAGTAGCAGTAGTTCAAGCAGCAGCGATTCAACATGGGCCGTTTCAGAAAATGACAATGATGAAATAACCGATATGAGTAATAAAACCAGTAATGATATTCTCGATTCAGATGATGACCCTAATTGATATTTTATTTACTAAAAATTATATTGACTGTATAGTACAAATCCAATCATTTAATTAAGCATTTATAAGGTGGAGTGTAGTTGTAAAAGCAACGGTAAATGTGCGCAAAAGCCTCAATGTATTTACATCAGTAAATTGTTAGTGCTTCCCTTGATAAAATTTATAAAAATCGAATTTATATATATATATATATATATATATATATTTAACTGACGAGTTTTTAATAACGATAAATTGAATCTTACAAATATACATGTAAAAGTTTCCACGAGAAATTAAAAAATTTACGTACATACTTAATTTATATAAATATGAATTGGAATCTTTAAGGAGGGGTGAAAAAAACGAAAGGGAGTTGTTATTTATTTAGCTAAAACATAGTACAACCAAGGTAATAATTTGCTATAATGGGCTATCAATTTACTTTTAGCTTCTTCATCGATAACATCGGCATCTTCGTACGCGGAAGTGGAATGGTCGTCGTAGTGTTCATTGTCCGACTCGAGAGCCTTTGCATGATCGTCGAGCAAAGTAGTTGATTTAACAGTGGCGGTCGAGTCTTCCGCAAAGCTCTGTTCTTGCTCGAGCACCTACGCGGAAGAGCGTCCAAAAGATGAACAAACCGAAAATGATAAAGTGAAATGTATGGTTAGAATGGAATATGATTTGACGTACGTGCTCGTGTTCATCGTCTTCGAGGCTGGCGCTGCTGCTGTCGGTACTGTAGTCGTGAACACGCTCGTTGCCGTAGTTCTGCCAATAGTCGGCAAGTTCACCGTACAATCCGGGGCTTTCGTCTCGGGCGAAGGTCGACTTGACGGCTTGAGACTGCCTGGACACCGCCTTGTGCTGCCGATCTTGCTCGTGCTCGTGTTCATGGACCAGGTCTAGATGCTCGTGGTAGCTCGGCTGTCCGGTCTTTAGCACCAGGTACTCATGGGCCTTGAGACTACGATCGCTGTATTCGTCCACGTGTGGCGCCCGCATGATTATGCGGATCGGTATGAGGTAATCTGCTTCCAGTTGGCCCTCTACTTTTACAGGCTCGCTCGTTGACTCGCTTTATCGACAATTCCTTCCGTCATTTGACTTTTTCAAGTTTCACCATTTGCATGCAACTGCTTACCTCTTGATTTCAACCAGCTGCAGTCGATTGTCACTGCCGTCGTTCGGTGACACCGAGCGCGCATTTGTTGATCTCGACTTCAATACGTCGCGAGCGTCAAGGCTCTCGATCTCTTTGGGCTCCGTGAGCCTTCGCTCTCCATTGCTTTCCGACCAGTTCGCTGCAACCTGTAATCAGTCATCGCGCGAACAACTCGGTTTCGATGTTTTGAAGCCTCGCATAACAAGAGAATTCACGTCTCACCGGATTCATCAGTAGCTCTTCCGTAACATTGGTCGTCAGTTTCTCGGCATTGTCGGCATCGATGGCTGTCTCCAAATCAATCTTGCTCATTGTGACGTTTACACGGTCGAAGTCCTCGTAGTAATTTTGTGTAGCGTTGGAATGATCGTCGTCTCGCGGATAAAGCGTAGTAGGATCGTAGTCGCTAATAGTGGTCGAGCTGTTTGGAGTCGACTGATCGGTGGCAGCGAGGCTCTCATCGGACAGTAAAGCGTCGCCGTCATTGTCCGCTTGGTTTGTGTATGTGGAGTAGTCGTCGGGCACCGGCTGGTCGACGATGGATTGTCCGTAAATATGATCAGTCTGCTCGAGCTGTGGAGTTTGCATTCCCGTACTGTGGCTGTCCGTAGGAGAGTAAGCGATCGAAGTCGCATTTTCTCGCGGCGGCGACGACGTAGTGGTCTCGTTAGCGTCAATTGCCGGAGTTAGCGTGGACGAGTCGTCGTCCGTAACTGTTTGCGCATCGTAATCGTCAGACTGAGAAAATAGCAGCTGCGATTGGCGTCCGAGGCTCGACGTATCATTTCCGTTTTCGGCAGTTGGTGTGCCGATCGTCGCTGACCCTTCTCGCGCTTCTTGCGACCAAGTCTCAGCAGTTGTCTCCTCGCTACTTTCGGTCGAGTAATCGAACAATTGCTGAAACTGCCGAAAATTGTAATCAGCAACAGAGTCGCAGCGCGAGTGACACGTCGCTTTACGGAACGGATGCGTACCTCGCAGCGACCGCACGGCTCGTCTTTGTAAGTTGACAGTATAGCTGCTTTCACATAGGGGAAGTGCAAGATACTCCAGGGTACGATCACCTGATATGTCAGTCGTCCGCAACTATCGATGCAACGTCCTCGATAAGAATGAGCAAATTAATCAAAATGAATGAACAATAGTTACCGATCGATCACGAGAATTTGGTCGCGGAAAGCTCGGAGCTTTGGCCAGATTTGAAGTTCGGCGCTGTCCTGGATGAAGTAGACGTCGGGACCGAGTGCGCCAGCGAGAGCCTCGGCCGATGGGACTATCGGCGGCACTCCCTCGGCCTCGCTCGGTGATATCTGCTTCCATGTCTCTTCCTCCACTTCGATTTCGGCTTTAGACGCGTACTCGGACTCTCCGGGTGCCGCGTTTATCGCTAGGAATTGGATATTCTCGAAGCCCGTCTTGTCGAAACGCTCTCTCAGCACTTTCAACCTGCGATCAGCGTTCATTATGATTTTTATTTTTTACCTCTAATAAACCAACTAGGCTCAACGATCCTAATTGTTTTCTTTTAAACAATTAGGCTAGTCAAACTAGTCCTTTTTATGCAGTGCGCAAGCTATGCCACGTATTTCTTTGACGAGGCCAGCGTGCATCACAGTTGTTATCATCATTTACAGAGAAGAAAAGCAAACTTTCGATAGCGTCGACAGTTTATTATCACCTGAAACTGTAGCCTCAAGTGATTTTCCTTTTCAAACTTGCAAATAGAATGGTAACATGGTTTTGAAATACGATATTTAATAATGTAATAATGCCAGCTTTGCAATCATATAAAAGAGGCCTCGTTAAAACATCGTTAAATACTGTTATTGATAGATTACGATTACTCAATTCAACAGCCGTTTATCCAGAAAATATTAAAAATCTAAGCTTATTTTTCAGCTGCATTTCAACGACTAAAATTTAACGTGTACAGCGAAATTCATTTAAACTCATTTCCTCTTTATAAACAAGAGCTTCGATTTGATATCTTGCACGATCAAAATTAACAATCACATCGATCAAAGATCATTACAAAAATTGAACATTTGAAGGCTTTGTAAATATAGCATCATTTTTCTGCTTTATTTAAGTGACATTTCCAATCGACGATAGTTAGGCCATAATCGTTATTTTGTCTGTGCAAGGTATTGAATGCTCTTAATTTTTATTGCTTTAAAACTATCGTACATGCGAGCAATTTGTCACTCAATGTCTATAATAATGTAAAACACAGTGAAAATTTAATTGAACTTTTCTAATGATCGGAAAATTTTCGTCGCTACATCTCTTATATATTCAAAAGCCGTACATTGAAGAAACAAAAATACTTGCGATTCTAAACCTCAGAGAATTGAATTTTTTCTGAATTTCTTCCGATTATATTAATGTATTTATAAAAAAATATATTGACTGCCAGTAGTAAGTTAAGTTGTTTAACAGTCAAAAAATTGATCAGTAATGTTATTTTTTTAATGAACTATAACGCAAAAAGCTCTTAAACTGACCGAGCACATGTCGATAAAACGTTGCCGAGTTGTCCGCTATCTATAGTTTGGGTAAACCGTTCAGCAAAAATTACAACAAATTGTTACTGTGCTATGTGGATACGTTTACGCGTGTAAAGTGGTCTGGATCTGGAAACGTTATATCAGTGTAGTGCAACGCTAACAATCAACCAGTAATGGTTTGATTGAAGTATAATAAAAGAGCGAATAAAATAATCTTTGAAGCTCGATTAAGTTGGTATGAAAATTGCGGTTGCCAAATATTCGAGAGCGCTGGTGTTTTGCAATGTTGAATGCTAGTCACTGGCAATCGAACGAGAATGCGCGCGAACTTACATTGCAGCTTGTCGATGACTGAATGGCCATGTCGAATCGAAGAAAGCAAGAACGTTGACTCGTCCGATTTGTTTATCCCAAAATTGCAATATGCTACATTGCTCCAAGTAGCTGAGGTCGTCCTGCCGTTTCACTATCTTAGCCAATCTCTTTGGCGCTGCGCGAATATTTTTCGGCGCTTCGGCTGTTGCAGAAGTAAAACTGGGCGTATCGTAGCACAAGCTCGTCAGCAGCAAAACGATCAATCTCATTGTCACTGAAAGATCTGTCTACTTTCATCGGACGATCACATTTCGTTAGTCAGCCAGTGGTAGCTGTAAAAATGACGAAAGAACGTAAAGCGGGGCATATCGTCCAAAGTTATATTTTTGTATCAAGAAAAACGCCACGTCATTCGGAGAACAACACAGCAGCACACGAGTAGCAGCAAGATCGTAAAACAAGGAGCTTGAAGCCATACTTCTTTGTCGATGGTTGAGTTGGAAAAAGTTGAGTTACGGAGCGGAAAGCGGGGGGCAAAAAAGTAGAAAAACATGCAAGGCACGGTTGTAAGAAGGAAAGGCGCTCCAAGTACCTGCACCGCCTAGAGCCCAAGGACAGCAGGTCGGTGCTGCTGCGCCGCGTGTACTTCTTGTGCGGCCAGAACTTCACTCGTCGCGGACCCTTACGTGTTCTGCGCTTATTCGCATCGCCTGGCCTCGACTGTTCATTTCGACGAATGACAAAGGCGACTGACGACTTTTCAAGTAATCGACAGCCGACAAGCTAACGAACGCGCCGTCGTCGCGAATAACCCATGGGTTGGCACTCGCGCCGGTGAGCTTCTTGATACGATCGTGTGGTTGGTCAGCGCGAAGGATAGGTGATTGACGTTGCGTACGCGACGAGGATGAGTCTCTTTGGAAAGCACTGCCGCTCATCCGTGCACATATTGGCTGCAGCGCCGGCACGAGCGCAACATGGATACGCCGAATTACAGGTCGCATTCGAACATGAACGTCAAGGTGGCGAAAGCTTGCTGGAACGAATCGGACGGCGATCAATCGAAGGTGTGAACTTGCCGCAAAAGTATATGTAGGTGGGAGCTTTGGTGCATACAGAAATAGCGGCGAAGCGCGGAGAAAGCAAAAGGCGCGGATGAGAGTATCGAATAGTAGGCAGCTGTACGGCCGAGTATACACGTGCGTTTATAAACGCGATCCCATTTATAGATGGAACAGAGGCCTTCTTGTTCCTCGCGCCGCCCTCGTCGTCGCTACGCGCAGCCGGCGAGAGAAAGACAGAGAGGTGAGGCGCCTCTCTCGATTGACTCAGTGTCCGTAACCCCGTCGAGCGCCACACTCTGCGCCGCTATTTAGACCTTCGTCAGCAAGCGCTGCTCTTATCGTCTTTTTTTTTCACAATCAGCGTCCTTTCCACTTCCCTCCCTCGACCACTCGCTTCTTTTTGTCTCCCTCTCCCTATCTCCATCTGATTTTTTCCATCTGACTCTACTTTACACTGCTTCACCTCCTCATACTTATCACCGGAAAACTCACAACGACTTTTATCGTACGTATATTTACATAGATTTTATTGTTTTCTTCTCACTCTCGTAGATTCATCGTATGACGATCTCTACGCGCCAACTGTCGGCCTCGATAAACGTCACCTTGTAAATAATATTCTCCAATAGTGTTTCACCTCTAAAAATAGTCCAGGTTGTATGGGCAAACTTGCACTCGATTCGCCTATCTATTGACTTCACTTCTCTTGGTGACAGAGAAATTAGAAAGTAAGCTCGCGCGCCTTTTTCTTTTTCACGAATTTATATTAGTTTGCCAAGCTGAAAAATTGGAGTATAGAAGCGCGACAACGAGTGCGCTACCGGCACAGCGTTCAATCTTGACAACCAACACAACTCTCACTTTCTATTGCCACTCGCGTTGCTTAAATTACGGCTGTATCGCCGAACGGAGAAACGCGCCTTAGTGCTTTGATTTCCTGACTGTTCGCGAAAATAGAGGTGTCACGAAAGCGCCTGCAATTCCAATAATTTGGACAATGAGATTTGTGAATAAGCGGATAACAGCTAAGCAACCGATAGATTAGTAAAGGAATATCGCGCGAGTGTAATAATAAATTTTGAGTAAAGTCCCTTACAGTCATTCGAAAAACTGTGACAGGTGAGATGATCGAGAGATCATAGTCGAGAAAAAACTGCCTGAGAGGAAGCGAGGGAGAGTTGATTGTAGCCGAGAGAGAAGGAGAGCGAGGTATGCGAGAAGAGAAGCACTCGACGCTCTAGCGATGACTGGCCTGCGTCCGCGGAGGTCGGTGCAGCTGCTGGTTGCAGTCGGCGGCCTCCTCCTACTCGGCGCCGCCGCCGCCGCCGCCACCGCCGCCGCCGCCGCAGCCGCCGACAGCAGTAGCAGTAACCGTCGCGCGCGGAATCCGCTGGAGGCCCTCGCGGCTAAACTCAGGCTGCGCCTCGAGCAAGCCACCAACCGATCCGACCAGGTAACCCGCGCTCGTCCACGCTCAGACCTTATCATCTCCATCTTCTCTCCGACGTCGCCGTTGCGAGACCGAATGCAAGATTCCACCTCCTTTCGCACGAGCGTTGCTCAATTTGGCCCTAACGAGCTCTGTCAGCAAAGTTTCGAGAAGATAAGTCGTGGGCGTTGCAGCTGGATCTGGTGTTCCTGATCGACGCGTCGAATTCGGTGGGCGAGGCGAACTTCCGCGGCGAGCTGAACTTCGCGAGGAAGCTGCTGTCCCACTTCACCATGGGGCCGACGGCCACCAGGGTGTCCATAGTGACGTTCGCCGGCAAGGGCCAGCTGGTGCGCCACGTGGACCACGTGTCGCGCGAGGCCAGCCAGGCCGACAAGTGCCGGCTGCTCAGCGGCCAGCTGGCCCAGCTGGGCTACAGCGGCGGCGGCACCTACACCTACGGCGCGCTCGTCGAGGCCGTTGTCGGTATCCGGCCGCGCGTTCGCGCCGCCCCGAGCGCCGATCGCAATGGTAACGCGCTGCTGGCATCTCGCAGGGGATACTGGAGCGGAGCCGGCGCCGCGAGTCAGCGGAGAAAGTGGTGCTGCTGGTGACGGACGGGTTCAGCAACGGCGGCGACCCGCGACACGCGGCCAGCCTGCTCAAGGGCCTGGGCGTCACCATATTCAGCTTCGGCATTCGCACGGGCAACGTGCAGGAGCTGCGCGACATCGCCAGCGCGCCCAGCCACGCGCACAGCTACTTCCTCAACAGCTTCGCCGAGTTCGAGGCCCTCGCGCGGCAGGCGCTGCACCGCGGTAAGTGCGCCCGACGGGGCGCGTCGGCCCGGCGCCGCGCCGGCCTCACACGTTCCGCCTGTGCCGTGCAGATCTGCGAGCCGGAGTGCACGCGCTGGTGAGCGAGCGCGCCGAGTGCCAGGCCCTCTGCCAAGGCGAGCGCCGCGTCGGCGCCGGCGGATGCTGCGACCCGATGGCCAGCTGCGGCTGCGGCACCTCCACCGGACATTACGCCTGCATCTGCCCGCTCGGGTACTTCGGCAGCGGTCTCGCCGGCTCGTGCCAGCGTCAGTCAACCTCCTCTATAAGCACTGCAATACCGAATGAGTAGACCTGCGTAATACGGCGGCTTAATTAGATGAGCTTTGCGCGGTCGCGCGTGCAGCTGCGATTCGCCAGCGCGAGGAGACAAACGCGCGTGCGCAACCTAATGAGCTTGCGTTACGTTGCAGCCTGCCCCAACGGGACTTACGGCCAGCAGATCCGTTCGGACGATTTGTCGGTGTGGTGTGCGCCGTGTCCCGACGCAAATCACGTGACGCTCAGGCTACCGGCGATTTCCTCCAGAGACTGCGTTTGCGCTTCCGGATTCACTGGCGAGCGAGGCAATTGCGAAGGTAAAGCGTCACGAGCGGCTGCTCAGAGGAATCCCTTGCCCGCGGCTAACGTGGGCACAGCACCGCCGAGGAGACAGATGTCGTCCATAGGATCGGGATACGTGGTCGTGTCTTTCCCGTAGATTTCGAGTTGGAAATCCCGCTTGCTCGCGAGCCAGCCGTACTAAGATACGAACGAGCCTGGATCCAACCAAACCACCAAGCATCCTCGAGACTCGGTGTGAGGACTTACGTTGTCGTTGCTGGTTTTCGGAAACGGCAGGCACGTTCTTGGATCTGGCGTCGGACCACTCGTGTCGCGTTGCACTTTTTCCTTGCACAGCGCGCTCAATTTCTTATCCAATTCTCTGCAACGAACGCACGGCTGTGCCCTCAAATCCAGAAACCCCTCTTCCCCGCCTCATCTCCTTCGTTTACCTGTACTTATCGCATAACCACCAATAGTCGTGTAGCCACTGGATCTGCGTAGCTTTAATTTTCTCGGCATTTTTCGTCAGATTCGTGCTCGCAGAAACGTAGTCGAATGCTCTGGTGCTACGGAAGTCCATCGCTCGGTATTTTTGCAAATGATTATCTGTGTTACTTTCTCAATTTTTTTCCACAATAAAATTTTAGCTTAATTATCCGTAAACAAATGAAACGCAAGCTATACATATGTATGTAATTTTATGTTACGTTGCTTCTACTGTAAGAAAAACCGTTTCTTCTTTAAGCTTTGTAACATCGTAATTTTAAGGTAAATTCGTTCATCAAATAGGCTCTATTATATTACGCTAATGCGTATCTGTTCTACAATGGCAAGCACCGTCAAGCGCAACAATTTATAATTCACTGTTTTGTCAAAGTCTTTGGGCGCCTTAATAATAGCACTGTACCGCTAAATATTTAGCAAATCCAATAAGGTTATACGCTGGATAACGAGAGAATAATATCTTTACAGCTATCACCTGCCTAAAATTGAAAGTTCCCGATAATGGATATTTTGTAAAAGCAAACGACTGCAATAACGTCATTAATGCTGCCTGTGGAATCAGATGTAGAATAGGTTTTCAACTCATCGGTGATAGTATCAGACTGTGCGGTCAAGGCGGGAGTTGGTCCGGCGTCGAGACTCAATGTCTTTGTAAGTTTTTCCTCAATTTCGACACTGTGTGCATGCTCATCTTCTTTTTCGTAAATATTTCATCTGCGAAAACTGGGCAGATTTTCATATCGCTTTACAAAGGGTTACGTGAATGTATCGCGAGAAAAATGCGTAAAAAGCAACTCGGCATAATAAATACTAAATTCTGTGAGCGTTAAAGTAAACGCATAAATGCATATTTTAAGTGGTGCCGTTGCTTCAAAATTAAAATAACAATATGCGCCTACGTTTCATATTTATTAAAATTATCTCTACAAAATTTTTGGTTTTGAGGAAAGAAAATAGATTGCAATATTGTTCTTATTGTAAAATTTTGCGCACGAGCAATGTTCAATCTGAATAACAAAGGGAAAAACGTGAGCGTGACAAATGTGATTTTTCAGTAAAAACTTGCGCGGCCCTGCGGGCTCCCGTCAACGGACGGATCAGGTGTGAGCTCGAACATGCAAATAATCGCAGTAAAGTCAGCGACAGGGTTGCGCATCCAATCGATACTCGTTGCCAATTCCAATGCAAACATGGATTTCAACTGCGCGGCAGTAAAGTTCGAAATTGCTTGCCACTGGCCAGATGGGACGGACTCAAAGCCACGTGTAAACGTAAGCACACGTCGGCCTCACGATTTTCCGTGGGATCAAATGTTTCTCTTGACGAAATGCAGCAATCCATTGCGAGCCGTTGAAAGCAGTGGCGAATGCTGAGATTCAGCCCAAAAGTTGCATGGGTCCTCGGAAACTGCCTTATGCATCGAATTGCATGATTACGTGCAGAAAGGGTTACAAGCTGGAAGGTCCACGAACTCGGGTGTGCGTAGGTCGTCACGGTACATGGTCGAAGAGACACAGCGTCAGCCGTTGTATAGGTAGTCTCGTCACCGCTGATATGCGCGTTTAATATATAAGTCGTGTACGAGAATTATTATGGTCACTTTGCAGACAAAACGCGCCCTGTGTTAGTTTGCCCTGAAAGCTTCACGGTCGCCACGCTGCCTGCTCACAACTACACGAACGTCGATTGGCCATTACCCAATGTTACGGACAACTCAGGAGTTGACTGTAACGTTTGGAGCAAGCCATACGTCACATTTCCATGGAAAGTTCACGTTGGCAAGCACGTGGTCAAATACATAGCTCAAGATGTCAGTGGTAATAGAGCCAGATGTACCTTTAATGTTATCATCGTCGGTAAGCTAAAACTCGTTCTGTTTATTTCAAATATACGTATACACTGCATGCTCCAACAATTTTCAAAAATATAAGAAGTGTTTTGCTCGAAAAGCCACAAGGGCTTTTTACCTACTATATTTTTATTTTGTAGTTTCTTTGTACCATAGAACAACGAATGAATAATATTTTGGCATTCCATTTCCGTAAAAAACATGGATTTTTCATTAAGCAAGCAATTATTAATTATTAAAAAGTGTTCAGCCAAATAATCAATTTGGCTAATTTGCAATCGTATTTCCATAAATAAATTCAATTTGTAGATAGAGAGCCACCAGTGATAGAAAATTGTTACATCGATCAATTATCGACAAACTTGCAAGAAAACATTTTGAAAAATTACTCCAGCTGGGTTGAACCAGTCATTTATGACAATTCAGGATTGCCCGTGAAAGTCACCAAAGTGGTTGAACTCAATGCACAACCAAATTTTGTTGCTTATACTGCTGTAGACAAGTATGGCAATTCAGCCGAGTGCATAGTAAATTTGACGATAAAACGTACTATTTTCATTCTCATGCGCTATTTTTATGTAGAAAAAGGAATAGAAAATTGATTCGCATTTCACCTTTCCAGATACATGCGATGATATCGATGTTCCCAAGCCTTTGAATGGATACGCAGAGTGTAAAAGTATCGCAAACGGTGGTAAAGAATGTATATTGTTTTGTAACGATGGATATGATTTTGCATTCGAAGGGAATTTGCGGATGATGAAAAACGCACAAGGTTACGTTTTAACGTGCGACGCAACAAATCACTCTTGGAATTCTTTTACACCCGATTGCTCTCGTTGGTATTTTACTTCTCGGTTTGTTGATTATTATGAAGATCAATTGTTTATGGTTACTTATGACTGTTTTTTAATCAAAGGACAAAAGGTGCCTAGTATCATCCATCAAGAAGGACACGTCGTTCTGACAGGTGATTCTGTGGATTGCGATAACACGACATTGTTAAACGACGTAAGTTCTTGAAATCGAAGCCAAAAATATGTAAATATTTATTCAGTGGGCTTTTCTAGTATAACCAGTTGGCGAAAGCTATGAACGATAGCTACAATCGCAATTACGCACATGTTTGCGGCAACGATGTAACGTGTTACATTACTTACGAAATGAATTGTAATACATTTTCTGCACGTTTAACGAGAAACGTCGATGACGACGTGTACGTCATCAGTGAAGTCAGTAATCAAGATGCAAGCGGTCACGAAGGAAAGAGAATTGAAAAAGTCAGACGCTGGAAAGACCAAATTGAGTTAAAGTTCAGGTTCATCGGTAAGTTGGGACGTTTGATGCTCATGCAAAAGTTAGCCACAAATTATATTGGAGCTTGCTCATTGATGATATTAATGAAATGCAGCGAAAATAATCGAGGACAATCAAAATAACCGTCGACTAGGAGTGGCAAAGCTGAGAGAATCAATAGAATCAATGAGCAAGTCAGGAGAGTTGAATCTGTTGGACGAAGAGACTAACAAAGAAATCGGATGGCTGGCCTTGAACCTGCACTCGGTATTCGAGGATCCGCAAGTGATATGCGAAGCCGGAAGTGTGCCGAGGAAGAATAATTGCGGTTGTTACTGAATATAAAATTAGGCGCGTCCTCGGAAAGCTGTAGCTCATTTCGATTGTGTGTTTATCGCAGTGGAGTGCCCCGCTGGGACGTTCCACAATCAGACTGGCATGCGATGCCAATCGTGTCCTCTCGGGGAATTTCAAAGTTCGCCGGGGTCGGTGGCTTGCGACAAGTGCGCGCCCCATTACTACACGAGAAGGCTGCACGCGAAATCGATGGCCGAGTGCGTAGGTGAGTATGGGCGCGCCGCCAGGCTGGGGCTCGCCGAGAGACCGGCAATGAAGCTCGAGGTGGCTTGCAGCGGCATGCGAGCCGGGCCATTATTCGCGCGGAAGGTCGCATCAGCAGCATGCGGATCTCGCTGGTCTCGCGCTGGCTCCTTGCACGTCCTGCGAGATCGGATCTTACCAGCCGCGGTACGGCCGCAGCCAGTGTTTGCCCTGTCCCCGCAACGGCACTACCGAGACGAGAGCCGCCACGGCGCTCAGCGACTGTTTGCCCGCAAGCCGTCGCCGAATCCACTTTGATTTCTGCTCCAGCGCTCTCTGCGCGAATCGGGCCTCCTGCTCCAACCACCTGGACGGCTTTAGCTGCGAATGTCGTCCGCACTACGTCGGTAAGATGATCGCGCGCCGCTCTCATCCTTGCAAATCTCGCAGACGGCCTGTTCCTTGTATCAGGCTCAAGCTGCGAAACATTCGTGGACCCCTGCTTGTCGTCGCCTTGCTCGAGCGCCGGTCAGTGCATGCTGACCAACAATAGCGACGGCGACTGGACCTACGGATGCTTGTGCAAACCAGGCTTCGCGGGAAGTTTTTGCGAGGTAATGCGCCTTCCTTTCAATTTACGTGCTGCAATATTCGATCGGGTCACACTTTGCAGACCCTCGTCAACGAATGCTCCTACAGTCCGTGCCGCAACGGTGCAACTTGCTCGGCTACCGATATCGACCTTTCGTGTACTTGTGCAGATGGCTTTGAAGGTGCCTTCATTGAAATCCATCTGAAACGGTTATTATCGGTTAATCAAGGAACATTTGTGCAGGCGACTTTTGCGAACTGGCTGTGAATCAGTGCGAGCACTCGCCGTGCGAAATCAACTCCTCGACCTGCCGCACAATCGACGGCTCCTGGAAATGCTTTTGCAAGCCAGGCTATCTGGGTTTGCGTTGCGATTTGTTACCATGCGACTGGCTTCCTTGTCACCCGAATGAAATATGCGTCAACCTGTTTCAGGAGAATGCAAACCAGAGTAGTTACAGGTGGGAGACTGGCCAGTCCGCACTGAGTAGTCATCAATGCTTCCAATCTTACATTCGGCAAACGATTCATAGCATGCGTCGATTCTTCCTTCGTACCTTTGATTAATCGTTTTTTAAATGACAAAGAGTTCGATTACTTGACTCTTCTGTACTATGCGATACTTTTAGATGCGAGTGCCCGCGCGGCTTCACTGGCAAAGACTGCTTCACGAAAATCGATCACTGTCAAAGTAATCCGTGCCAACATAACGGAACCTGCATAAACAATTTACTAGATTACAAGTGCCATTGCCACATTCCGTTCACGGGCTCAAACTGCGAAATAGGTATTCTTATTTTGTGCTTGCCAATATTTATGCAGAGTTGTCGTTTTTCAAACGTCGACCATGACTTTCAGAAATGCTATCCGATTATATCATGCACTTCACTCAATCTGGCACAAGGGATTACGTTACTTTACCAGGGCCGGCCTACAATTTAACAGAGGTGATGAGTTTATTCTTCTTTTGGAAATGAAAGTAATGTCAGGCTTTCTTGACCAGAAAAAAAATTAGATAAAAAATATGCGATAGTGACTTATGAATGTAAGCAGTCAAAAACAATCTTTGAAACGATGATTTTAAAGCGCACTTTTTAAAATAGAATTTCTGGAAGAATATTGACAAAAATATCGCTATCAATGAAATGTATTTCTATTCCAACAAAATAATTTTTCAAATATTCATTTGTTTTCTGGAAGCCTGACACTTTTATTCTTAATTACTCGTGATTTTGAAAGCGTAAATAACCGTGCGACCAATCGATTAGTTAACAGTATGCTTTTGGATGCAATCGCTCGATACTTTTAATTACGGAACAGTCTTCTCGTACGCAACGCCCAATCAAGATAATGCGCTCACTTTGACAGATTACAGTGGGTTAGTATAATTTACTATCGACCTAGCTTACTATTTGAGTATTTGAGCGAAAACTTTATTTAAATAATTTAACTTTCGAGATAAACAATATTGCAATACTACGTTGTATGAAATAAAAATATTCGTTTAAGCTTTGTATTTTATGTCAATGGAGAGTGGGTAATTACCGATGCTCGGCTGAATGACGGGCACTGGCATTTCGTATGCGTTGTGTGGGAAAATCAGTTAGGCTCTTGGCGGCTGTATGTAGACGGAATTCAAAAAGACAGCGGCACGCTGTTGGCCAAAGGCACGCAAATTCAGGGTAATATTTCTCAATTCAACTTTATACGCTAGAAAATTGACACAGAATAATGTCACATTAAGAAAAATTATTTTATGCCTAATTTTATATATTTTTTTACAGCGAAAGGAACACTTATTTTTGGACAAGAGCAAGATGAAGTTGGCGGTGGATTTTCTGAATCAGAATCATTTTTAGGTAAACTGTATTTGTTAGACATTTGGGATAAAGCATATGGTTCCGAAGTCATATACGATCTAAGTAATACTTGCAAACAGTATCACGGATCGTTGATTTCATGGGTACAATTACAAGGAGGTATTCGAGGCGATATTAAGGTGAGCAATAGTTTTAAATATGTAATTATTACGCAACATAAAAGAGAAAGACTTTGGCAGTTTCAAAAATCTAATCATGATAAAATTCGATAATCGGATTGAAAATGTTGCAACCCATGTCATTGAATGGTAATAATTTTTGTTTTGTGTTCTTCATACAAATAGCTTACAAACAGTTCATTCTGCCAAAGATGTCCTCCACCAATATCAGTTTTTAAAGGACTTGTAAATATTAGTAAAGAATTAGAAGAAGCTACTCACTACTGTGAGACTGGCTATGAATTCCGTAAAGGATACGAACGTATTAAAACTATCAAAAAGAAATGCATGAAACACGGTAGTTGGGCGGGTCCGAAAGTGCCAAATTGCGTGCGTAAGTTTGTTTTGAGTGAATTATTTGGTATAGCTTTCTGCTTTGAATTGTCAGAATTCCGAAGCGACTCGAGACTTTGAGCTTCGGGGCTAGTTGCGCCCAGCAGCTTAACAATTTTCACAATTAAACTAAGTATTTAGGACCTATTAATTATTTAAGTATTTATATAGATTGTTTCTTCGAGATTGAAGATTGTTCAATTTTTTATGAAAAAACTCGAGTTCTAAAACCTAGTAAAATTTAGGAGGTTAAAGCTCTTTTTAGAAGCCTACTATGTGAAAACAATAATAAATTTAGCATTATTTAGGTGTTAACTGTCCTTACCCCGGATATTTTTTAAGAGGACAGATACGGGGAAGGTCCTACCTCTATGCTGATAAGATTATATATACTTGCAATGACGGCTACAAGCTCAAAGGAAATCTCGAAAGAGTATGTACAGCCGAAGGAACATGGAGTGGAACTGCACCATTTTGCGTAGGTAATGCTGTAATCAGTGCTTCACTCTATCCAACTGACTATCAAACATTAAAAAGGACTGTAATAATGTTCATTTCATCCAGGAATAACTTGTAAAAATCTACTAGCTCCCGACCACGGCGACTTTGATTATATTGTTGCAGAGCATGATAGAGACGATTTATCGATACTACAGGTATGAAACACATTGACAAATTAAAAATCGCTTTAAGAAAACTTGGTTGTTAAAATCAATTGATTGAATTGTTGTTCGAGGAATCCAAGCAATAAAGTTTAAGCGATTTTTGGATACACCAAATAATTCATACGTATATCTTCTCATATTTTCACTTTTTTTATCACTTCCTTACGTTACCTTGATTTTCACGCAATTTTTATGAAACTCTTTAATTAATCCATGTTTATTTTCTCTATTTCAAATTTCGTGGATTTTATATAGCTACTTCCATTTCATTGAATAGTTAAATATTCATAATAATTAAATCAGTTTGTATTGATCGTGTCACTTTTGAGCAAAATTTGTGAAACTTCCAACTACTACAACAAATTTAGCAAATACTTTTGAAGCTTTAGTCGAGCTTTTGGCCTTTTAAATACCTAATGTGATTTGTTTCCTTTGTTTATCAGTTTGAAAACTGTTATGTCAAGTTTCTAGCTTTAAAGCTTGACTCAGTTCTAAAATACGACAAAATGTAATGATTCTCCAATGTTATTAACAAAGTTAAAACTATAAGCTCCGCTTAGGTGGTTCCAGTAAGTTCCATCCCGAGTCTTTTCAGAGAGTTATGTAGTTTATGATTATTTCTAACTCTCTAATAGGTTGGTCAACAACTTGAATTCAAATGCGATGCTGGTTATTTTCTGAGTGGAAATAAAATTCTGACATGTCTTCAAAATGGTACTTGGAATTTTCAACAACCGCTTTGTTTACCGATGAATTGTTCACCGCCAAACCAGTAAGATACTAATTGATACATTTTCGTAAACAAAGTAAAAACAACTAAAAATATATGATGTACTATTTAAATTTATTCGCCTTAGGTTCAGCCACAATCACATTATTACAAATATTACAACGCACTCTTCATCGCAAACTCACGTCATTGGCGATTTAAACAATAAGCAATCAGCAAATAAATCGCATTACTTTTACGGAAATATTTTAGTATTTGCTTGTAAGCAAGGATACAAATTCGAAAGTGATCACTATATTTCGACTGACTTGAAGCTTGAGTGTACATCCAATGGCACTTGGGCTGGCTTGGTACCTGCCTGCATACCACTTCGCTGCCCGCCACCCATTCGTATAGAAAATGCTATTACGTATTCACTGGATGAGGTAATTCTTATCAATCAATAATTACTTGAACAACTTTTTCTCAATGATACACGTAAAATACAGCAAAAATTTATATTGTAACGTGATACTGTTTAATTTTCAAATACTTGAACATTTTGCTCAATGATTCGAGCTTTTGAACGAGTACTAATAAAAATTTTATTGATAATAGGGCCAGCAAACAATTGATGGTACTTGGAATAATAACAAAGCTGGACATAGTTCGCACAATAACATTAATGATACCGGTATAGAGATTGAAAATGAAATGTATGCTAGAGTCGGAATGAATTACACATTTGGACAACAAATCAAAATAATATGTAAAAAAGGATTCGAAATAGTCGGAGGTTCAACGATTAGAACTTGTACTGAAAATGAAACTTGGAGCGACAGCGATGTAAACTGCGAGCCTTCGCAGTGCCTATTTACAGAGTTAAATAATCACCCTCTAATAAGAATATTTTCAAACCACACGCAAAAACTTGAACAAAGATTTCAAGTGCTAGAAGTAAATCTTGACGTACTAAATCATATTCGGCAAGAATTTAGCTTTCATGTGGAAGGATTTAATTACGGTAACAAAATCATTATTCAGTGCTTGGATCATAAGGATAACAAATTTTCAAATAAGACTCAGCTGAAGTTTATCTGGGAATGCGAAGAGACAAAAAAGTGGAAATTTTCAACTGAAAATTTGTACGAACCCAACGTAACCAATAGAATTTTAAAAGAACAAATAAACGTGTGTTCTTCCAAGAGATGCAGTGCGTTGAATGTAAGTAATAATTGGACAAGTATTTGATTCTTTGGATCGATGTGTCGGTGATGTACAACGTATATTACAGCCTCCTTTGCATGGGTACATTGAGTATGAAAACAATACAGAAAATGCTTTCGAGGGAGGGCTTATTTTCAAATGTGACTCGGGTTACAAGTTGATAGGTGGTCAAAAGTCTTACTGTTTATTCAACGGAACTTGGACGTCTATTCCAATATGCCAACGTAAGAATTGCCGTATTCGTAATCCTGATTAAAAGTTATATAAACACTTAATCACAATGTAATCATTTATGTGCGCGGGATTAATATTATGCTCCTCAAGAGCCAAAAATTAATATCAAAATTTAATAGATTTAATTATTATGTATGTGCAGCAATCACTTGCGGAACACCTCCTAAAGTGTTACATGCGCAAGTTAAAAGTGGAAACATTGAAATAAGCCAGGCTTCACTCGGGACCACGATTTCGTATCAATGCATAGCAGGCTATCGAATTTTCGGCCAATTAAAATTGCAATGCTTGGCAAGCGGGGTATGGTCGAGAGTCACTGGAAGTTGTGCTAGTAAGTTATAATTAATTACCCATATCAAACTTATACGATGACTAACTGAAATTTTCTACTTGTTCGATAATAATTTTAATGACCTAATAATAATTAATAGTTAAATATATATAGCCACGAGTGTATAAGAAGAGAAAAATTTAAGCAAGCTTATATATGTTGACGAGATATTAATATTGCAGGAATATCGTGTGGAAAACCACAGCTTACTGGTGGTGCATCGATACAAGGAAATTCTTATTTCTATCAAGACCGCTTAATTTATATCTGTCCTGATAAAAAATTTAGAGATTTTATTATATGCAATCGCGATGGAAATTGGAGTAATTTTCCAAAATGCACTAGTTGAAACAATTTTAACATTGCAAACTATTATGGTGAATATTTTTTAAATACTCTATAGGAATAAAGGATACGTTTATAATGAACGAACAGATAACAGGTTGAATAATAAAATGTATATACTAGCTGTATTTTATAAATAAAGATCAGTTTATTATAAACACATGTATATATGAATATATGTATATGTATATGTGTGTGTACACACACACACATATATATATATATATATATATATATATATATATATATATATATATAGTCACACACAAACACACACACTTATTGCATCAACATTTACTTTACAGTTTTCATGTGATATTTTTGTCATTACTTTGTTGTCACAATCATGACGCAGATGCAAAAATGTACAACTGTCAAATATTTATTTAAGGATATTACGAGATGTTAAAAATGTTTGGTCGAACTTTTTACAACGTCAATGTAGATAACTCTCATTGGTCAGTAATAAATATAATTTTTACATAAGTACATTTGAAAGTCAATGTCATAATCGAATCGTTATTATTCAATGTGATGTAAATTAATACAAAATTATTTATGATTAGTTTGAAACGTAAATTTTTCTCAGACGAGTAGTCTTCATATCACAGACATATAAGTCTGTTAAGATGCCTATAGTTATAAGGAAGTTAATCATTTGCACATGCTTAAATGTATCTATCCCATTAAAGAGAAGATTGAAGACTTATTTCGAATCATTTTTTGACGACATTTCTGTTGTTAAATTTCATTAATAAGCTTTGTTAATTAAGCTTCTTGGATAGTTACCAACCAAAGTCTTTAATAAAAAATAAAAATAGATTTAGTCACGGGCAAAATGCAACAGAAACTTCCAATATACTTAATCTTTCTCCCTCGAGACAGGTGATCTAAATAAGACTATCTCATAACCAAATATAATTAATAACTACCTATAAAAGTAATGGAAGATTCCTATCAGACAAAGCTCAACAAATGTCAATTCGAGGCAATTATGAGTATCACTGGTTTTTAACTGAGATGTAAAATTACTTTGGTGAGCTTAGTAAAACCAGGATATGCTTAATCATTTATAATTGTAGAGCGCAAAACCAATACCGTTCAATAAATTAGGTGAAGAAAATTCAAATATTCTTCACACCATGAAATGATCTAAATGAAAAGGTTTTTTAAATGTAATGAGTTAATTTCATCTAAACTTCAAGGCAATGCTCATAGTTCTGATTTCGAACTTTGAGAATATTTAGGCTTTAACTCTTCTATTCTACTAATAAAATCAGATTTTTCAATACAACCATCACAAGTTTCATCCCAATCATTTAGTATTTTCTTCAAATCTCTAACTTTCAATTTCTTCAAATCCACTGTGTTCAGGTCGATTTGTTTTTCTGTAATATAACAAGACATTAATAAATTATTAAAAATAACTTTTCAATTTTTAACAAACAATTCAAAAGCTAACATATTTTCAAATAATTCTTGTAGTACTAACTATAAATTTTTGTTATACAGACACAACTTGCATTATTACGTTTTTTGGAAACCATTTACGATAAACAAAATAAATTACCATGGACAAACTTAAATTTTTGTTCATATAATTATTTGTTTCTTTGTAATATATAACTATTTATTTTATTGCTGTAACGATAAATTGAAGCTGTCAACACAAATAATAAACTAACGTTTTATTAACATACTTAATAGAAATAAATTTATTTAATTTTGTTAACTAATGGAAGATACTTACCAAATCTTAATTCACAAATTTGAGCATCTTTCTTTTTCAGCTTTTCACAAACTTTATCAGCTGGTAAAGACCATGAAAGTGGTTTACTAAGTTCTCCTAATATACCAGTAGCAGATTCCTCAAGACCTCCTAAGTAGTAACACTAAAAATATTTCTGATTAAGAATATGATTTTAAATTTATTTGCATATATCTTATTTTTATTACATACAAATCGATTTTCTTTAGATTTTGTTCCTTTACAAAATTTTTTAAAAGCTTCTTCTATTTTCTTGGGATCTTTGATTACATCATCAGCCAATGTATTTGCAAATTTCTTTACAGTTGCAATGCAAACTATAAAAAATTAGATACCATTAGAATTTTTCTATAATTAAAGTATTAATTTTAATATAAGATCAAACTTTATTGTACTTTATTCCAATATTTTTATTTTAATCATCCATGCATATTTACTCATTTTTTTAAAATTCTTTTTAACAGAAATATTACATATAAGTATTATAGACAATCATTGTAGGCAATAAAAATGTGTTGAAAGGATATAACATAAGATAATGGCGGAAAGGAAGTAACTCATAAATGAAATTATGAATGTCATGGTTATGGTAATCAATGAACAAGTCATCATGTTAAACTTATGAATAAGTTTTGCTTAGTTTGATTAAAAAAATAGTATTTGAGAGTATGTTATAAGTGAGTATATACCGAGCTATTGATGTATTAATTAATCATTTACCTTCACAATCTCCTTCTTTTAATGCTGCAACTGTACTCACAGCTACCAATATTGTTATTCCCAATAAGTATACTAACTTCATTTTTGGCTTATGTCAAAATCTACAAATAGCAGAAAATAATAATTAATTTAATAATTATAAATTTTTATGAAAATGTAAACTAAATAATTATTAACTTTTCCGATTTATTAGTAATAGATTTCTAATGGTCAATGTTGATAAATTAAAAAAACCGATACAAAAGGTATAATTAAACTAAATTGCACATTATATTGTTTGTGACAATTACAAACTTGTAAATTATAAATAAAATCTTGATGATAAATATTTCAAAAGTTTATAGGTTAGTTGAAGTTTAGGTTAAACGAGAAAATGCGAAAATGTGTTACAAAATTGACTACATAAATATAAAATTAATTAAATCTTACCTTTTTAAAAACGGAAAATGTAAAAAATTACTGTAGACTAAAATGCCGTTATACGTCGGTTAATGTTGTCTCCGAAATATGTCTATGCCGCTTACTCTACTCGTCAACTATATACTATATACATTCACTTTATACACGTTGATTTGGTTGTCAGATGCTCCTCAATCTCCCAGCTGGCGGCTGGCGATTGGTCCGAGTCTTTCATTATCTATTATTACGCTCTGCAAACGGATAGGCTCTTTTAAAAATCTACAGATTTAGCGCCAGATTTAAAATTAAAAGCTTTGTATCCGATTTCTAGACTTTTGGCCCACTCTGGAGTGTGGCCAGGCTCGCAGGCACCAAGGACAGAGGAGAGAGAAAACGTCTTAAAGCGAATGTCGAAGAACGGGCTTTTATTAGCGCAAAGGTTACAGCGAGAGCGTTGAACGCCCGACGACTTGAAGGTGTCGGATGGCGCGCTGCCACACCCGGCTCAAGCAAGCTGGACTTGCTCAGAGAAACGGTAGCCGGAACACAGCAACTGGTGCTAACTCGACTGTATCTTCTGGATAAAGCGGATTAACTCCGTCCTTCGCCCTAAGCCGATTGTTTAAATCAAAGGCGCAACCAGCGCCTTCGCTTATGCCCAGATGATGGCGGCACCGGTTGGGTACCAACCGCCACAGACTTATACTAATTTTTTGAAAATTAAGATTGGACTATTGAATAATCGTATGTAATAACAATATAATGATTGTATACAGTATTGCGTTTGGAAACGTACAGTTGTATTATAAATGTCCAGGTGAAGCTTTACGCGGAAAAAATTACTTAATTGTACTTATTGAAGCCTGGATTAAGCCTGGATTGATTTGAATTTATTATTTTATAACAGATTTCTTCCAATTAGCTACTTGTTTCACCCGAATTTATAAAGTATTTCTCGTTTAATACATTTATTATGAAAACTTTTCTAATATGTGTAATAGGACTTATTACATTCGAAAATATTATTCACTGTACTTGTAAATACTGTTATTTCTGGATCACGAGCTATTTATAAAGATGGTACCAATGATATCGATGATACCAATAGAGTTTGAGTATCACTAATATCGTTTTGTTACGGGCATTGGATTGATTTAATTGAACGACGAAGACCATTTGATATAAGTATGGGAAAGGATTAATAAATATATAAATAGATGTCTGGACACGTTGATGATTAAAAAAAGTTTTATATAAATTTCGCTCAAGTTGATACACACGCAGTGTATACTTATCGAAAAATGTGTATGTATACTTGTAGTTGGTTATTCTATTATTAATTATTTTTACAATTATATTAGAAATATAGAGAAAAACATTGCATTAATATCACATTCGGAAACATTCATGGCTAGAATGTAAGTAAATTACAGCAACGGAAGTGCCACATCAATCAAGTAATTGTTATTTTGCTTAAAAGCTTGAGTGGAAATAAATAATTTCGCGCCGCCTAGGGATACAGGACAATAGCCATTGAATCTCGCGTGCATGCACACAGTATAAAGAGCCATTTCGAGTTCTGGCGGTGTTCCAACGAACATCGACAAACCTTGCAGCGGTGTGTCTTCTGATTTTAAATTGACTTTTAATAGAGCACCCTTCTGTAATGGAACAAAATTAAGGAATGTATAGTGACTGAAGTTAACACAATTATTGCATAGAATCGTGAAATTTACTTACTCCACTTAAACTTAACATGTCAATGTAACCCATATAATCTACGTTGTGTTTAGATTCCTGATCAGCAACGTAAATCCAATTCTGCATACCCACGATGCCGGATGGTCCATAATTTTCGGATAAGAAAACGTGTTCGAATGACGAGGATGTATCTCCAAAAATAGTGAACCATATAGTTCTTAGAAGTTCTTTCTGATCATAATCATTTGATTTGACGTAATGCTTTTCTGATAGCCAATTAAGAGCTTTCTTCATAGTAGGGGTTTTCATAACTTCGTCCAAAAAGGCATTTTCTTTGTTTTGTTTGTCAAAAGATGCAATTTCTTTTTGGGTGCCGTTTCTCTGGTAATTATTATAAAGAGCTTTGAGCTTTGACACTGTTGGTAGAGATTCCAAGCCGGGCTTAACGATGAATAATCTGGAAAATTAATATCTCGAGTCAGTTCAGTCAGATTGAATTTGGAGAACAGCTTACAAGTATTATTTATCTTACAGAATATTGCATAAATCGGGAAGTTCATGAAAGTGAAAAAATAATTGTTCTCAAAAATAATAATAATAATGCACATCACTTACGGTTCACCTGCTTCGTCGGGAAGCGGTCCGTCGATGATTGCCACACGCTTTTGTAGATTTAATTCAACATATTGGTTTATGTTTGTGTTCAGATTATCAAACAACTCTTCGCTGAGTTTCATCAAGTCATCATCTGAAATGTAATTATCCCCATCTGGGCGTGCCTCTTGCGGTTGCTCTGGTCTTCGATCGACCGGTTGCTCTGGCGTTCTACTGACCACACCATTGTGACGACCACTTTGACCACCATTGTAATTACCAGTTGGTCCTGTCAAGAATTAGATATTGATTGAAGATAGAGTCCTAATCAATTCTTTCAAATAACACGTTGATATGGCTGAACCGGGACTCACTCACTGCTTGCAAATATATACAAGTTGATACGAAAATTTTAGAAGGCTTGACGGTTAATTAAAGAACTGCTAATTAAGATTACATATAATGCAGATGAAACACGGGATCTTTGGATCAGGATTTTTACAGTAGTATTAACAATAGCTGAAACTCGTATATAAGTGATTTTATTGAAATTCGAATGAATCTACAGACAAAGCGACGCCGAACAAACAAATTGAAGACCAGTGTAGAGAACGAAATTAAAAGCAGCAATTTGGTGGGAACAAATCGAACGATAAAGTGTGGAATAAAAGCAGTCAGAAGAAGCACCGACAGAACTAGGACTATGGTATATCAGGCCGGTTGGTCATAAAAATCACCTTGGTAATTGGTCGTCGAGGGGGAGTTTGGCGATGAAGCGGCTGATGGTTGTCCATTGAAGGAGTTAGTCTGCTCGGGCTGGTTTCCAAGGGGCGCACCGTTATTGGAGGGTGCAGCATCCGGTGCTCCATTGTTGTAGTAGTAGTTGTTGGTGATGCTGGTGGTGGGAGTGCCGGGGGCCGGAGCACTCGGGTAGGTGTGCACACCGTGGCTGTTGGGCCGGAAAATGCTGCTGATGGCATGGTCGACGATGGCGTTGGTGGCGCCGGCTGCCACTCCACCTGCCACACCACTGGCGATGTAGGTACCGATGCCCGGACGACCACCTCTACTCGAGCTACGGCTGTCCGGGAGCACGTAGACCGTGTGCGAAGGAGGCTGGCTGTAGGTTGGCGGATGGTACACCCCGGACGTCGGCGGGTGGTACCCACCACTTGGCGGATGATAGGCTGCGGCGTTCGTTGGTGCGTGGTAAACCCCTCCGCTACTCACCGGATGATAGCCAGCGCCTATCGGTGGATGGTAGCCACCGCTGCTTGGCGGGTGGTAGCTACCGCTGCTTGGCGGATGGTACACTCCACCATTGTTCACCGGATGATAGCCACCGGTCGAAGGGAAAGACGAACTGCCAAGATTGCTTGGATGAGGATGATTGGGTTGGTTTATCGGATAAGGAGGCGCCGAATGCGTGCCCGTCGAAGTACCGTGGCTTCCGAAACCGTTGTTCACGTGAGGATTGTACGCAGGTTGCCGCTCGTAAGCTGCAATTGCCATTTTAGCATTTCGCCATTGCGACTAACAAATCTCTGCATCGCTTACTCTGCCGTCGCTGGTAAAAATAAACTTACGGTTATTGTGAGTTGCGGACGCGCTGCTTTGTTGGTGTCGTTCATTTACCACGCCGCTAGGCCGGCCTGTTGATCATAACCATTCGCTATCATCTTTTATTCAGAATTCCTAAATAATCTCAGGTTCTCAACTTGAACGATTAAATTACTGTACTAACTTTCGTACTTATATCTCATAAATGACGTCGAGCATCCGAAAAATATTTCCAAATAGAAATCTTACCGAAATTAGAAGAGTGCGTATTTGTTGGGTGATACGAAGGCGCACTTGGTGTGTAAGAGGGTCGAGGTGCCGGATTGTACGACGGATTGTAGTTTGCTAGAATATTACAATTATTTTTAATTACTTATCCGGTCAACAAATGCGTGGCTTATATTATGTTAAGATAGTACTTCAAATAATAAACTTTTTATAATTATATTACACCAAAGTTATTCCTTCAAATTTATTATAATTCAAATGGTATATAAGCTAATATTCTAACTAACGAGACTTTGGTGAGTTTTGAAAACATTTAATTTGAGAAGCATTTCTTCATTCAGACTTATTAGTTTGAAAGAAGTGATTCATGAGAAAATGATGCACTGCTTGTATATACGATATCTATAATTTAACTTTAATAACAGCGATTGATGAGCAATAGCCATTGATATACGACAAGCACTAAGAATTTTTATAAATTGAGGTCTCAAGATTCATAAATATTATTGACCGTTGGAAGTCATATTTCATATAAGCAATTGCAAAATTGAACAATATTCGTAAATACTTGTTTAAACTGGTTTTGAATAGTGCTTTGAATGATCAAACTTACAATAAATAGTAAAATTCTTATATATCGGTTTACGCGTGAATTTTATTATATTATATGCCTTTGATACGCAGAATTTTTGTTTACAAAGGAAAATATGCGCGAATAAAGGATCTATATATAGAAGACAGTTACCTGGTAGAGAAGGTCTGCCAGATTCGGCATGCAAAAAATTCGATGACGATGTCCTTGATCCTGAATTGAAGGAAGTCGACGAAGGTCTGTCAACTGTGCATTGTACGAACGATTGAGTGCACAAGTACGAACAAAGTTAATGCCGATTCAAAATTTTCACGAAATAAAAGTAGAGCATAACTAGCATGTCTGATAGCTATCGCACCGATTATTATTGAAATAAGTGTAACATATCGCCTTAGGAATGTCGATGCTTAAAATTGAATTACGCTAGCTCCTCGTGTCGCAGCTCTATCAGCCAATTTTCAGCTCATTTATCGTATTTTTATATACGGCATACATCACTTATCCTCTCTCGGCTTACATGGCATTCTTGCGATAATTTCCAGCCTGGCAGTTTATGTCGTGCCGCTTATAATGAATGCCATATTGCATATATTTGCAAATAATTAAAAAATTTCATTGAATGTTGGCTATTGCTCATTTACAGTTGAATCAATTTCGAACAAATATAGCTACAATTACGATACTAACGAGGAAATTTGAACAAAGCGCAAAAGCATATTAAAGCAATCGTAACTTTCAGCTGAACTTATGAGTAATCGCACTGAAATAGTGTTTTAATCATTTTCCTTACTGGAAGTGCGTGACGGCGTATTATGGCTTGTAGTATGCCCCCATGATGTTGATGGCCTTGATCGAGATCCACCAAAAGTTCTTGATCCCCCACCGCCACTATATTTTTTAGCATTTGCGCAATCTGTAAACATTTGCAAATTTTTATTGTTATTATGTATTTATGCGTACCTATTTCAATCTTGTGACTATGAAAGCAATTTTTTTTCTTAAAGTACAAAGAGTATCGTATTTTTCATTCGGTTTAGCTTCAAACATTCTTTAATCCTAACAAATTTGAAATACCTGCTGATAATATTAAACGGTCACGATATATTTTAGAGCCTTTATTTTCACGACAACTCAAATAATTTATTAATATGCTTTTGGACAATAATCATTCTCGTACATAGATAGATCATTTTTTGTAAACCCTTAATTCAATAGTTCTCAAATACATAGTCATTGCAGAACTTGTGCTTTTAAATATTTAAATTGAAGATACTTTATTATGATAAGAATAAGTGCGTGTATAAAAAACAACAATAGAAAGAAGGAAAGAAATAGAGAATTGACGAAAAACAAAAAAACATTTTTTCACCGTGTTCTAAATTAATTGTGAATAAATATAACTTACGTAACACAAATAGAAAAATAAAAATTTGTAATAATCTTAGCTCCATTATTATATGTAGGTAGTAACAAAGCGGTTATAGTACTGAAGTGTGCACCGCGCAGATTGGACCGAAACTAAAGCGCGATCATCATTGATGTTTATATAAGATTGCTTTTTTACTCTCACTATCGCGAGCCAACTTCTCAGAAGACAGCTGTGTTTGAGAATCAGTAAGCACGTATTTCCCTGCGCGATATATAGCCAACTGATGGCAGGAGGTCATGTTGTTTTGGTCATGAACGTCAGTACGTATCTATGATCGTAACGTTAAAATATAGAAAATACCATATACAACATTTTCTACATTTTTTATTTCGTCAAAATACATTAATAACTCATATTTTTCAAAAATTACACTAATTTATTATTCTTTAATATTAATTTTTATTTCTTACATACTAAAGATCGCTCATGTGATGCTTCGTTCGGAAAGTGATGAGTTTTATTATATAGAAGGCAATAACGTCTATAAAATTTACTAAAAATAACATCAATATGAAAAATTAATTTAACAAGTTTCAACTACCTGAATTCGCGAAAATTTCAATCGTTTCAAATATAAAATTATAAAGAAAATTACAAACCGAATATTATATAAAAATAAGGATGAAAGAGTGACAAAAATCTGAAAGACTACAATGTATAAATTAAGTTTTATTTTGTTCAGCTTATTAACTATTTACACAATAGATTTGCAAACATGTTTTACTTACAACTCCTCAATTACTTTCCATGGAGGCACCTTTTACACATTAGTGTACAATATTCGCAGATATTATTTGAAAATATTTTCACTGTATGTATTATGCGCCAAAACGTATCAAGTAGCATTTTTATACTTCATATTAAATAAAACAAGTCCACAAAATTATTATTTACAAACGTCATAATGCAGATTTTGAAAATTTTTTATTTTGAAATATAGTTGAATAGGTTTTATAATTCTGGCAAATGCTACAAGGCTATTTAAAACGTTCAACTACTTTAGAAAGTAATATTAATAAACTATGCCTATTTTCATTGAATTAATTTAGGAGATTAAATATATCTAGTTTAACACTGAATTTAGAATAGTTGATTTCAGTATTTTGTATATTACATGTATTAGTTTTAAATTCAAGAAAATCACAACGTATTTGAAAATAAAGGACCTACAATGATTATTTTTTAAATCTTTTTGTTAGTTAACAAAAAAAATTAAAAAGAAATAACTTGATCTAAAAACATAATTTCTGTAATAATTGCACAAATTTAACGACATATAGAAATTATCAAATCCTTCGGGATATGTATAGTATAATATGATTCAATAAAGAGAATAGATATTCATATTTTTATAAAACATAAGGCACATATTTTTTCATTAAAAGTTGTCTGCAGAATAAAATATAGTAATTCAACAAGATTCCAAATATATTTAAAAAAATCAAATTAAATCTTAATTATAGTGACAAACGAATATAATATTGCACCTAAGATCGTAGGATATTTTGTAATTACAGTTATATATTTGAACTATTGTAATCGCTTTAACAAAATCAGCGTATATATACGAGTAAGATCATGTCGTCAATGATATGTTGAAAAGTGTTATTTTAAAATAAATACTTTCGTTTATCTATTTATCATTACCAAAACTTATTGCATTTTAATTATTAATTATTTGACAATTCAATTGTAAATTTATCAGTAAATAGTTTTTTTTTAATAACCATCGTTAACTTATTTTTTAAATGTCTTTCACCAATAATTTTATTACGGACAATCTTCATCTCCACTTCTTCTTGCATGTCGACCTCGGCCTAAAAATAAACATACACTTATTAAGAAAAATCTACTAGTTATTTACAAATGTATAACAATATATAAAAATTAAAAAATGAATATACTATACATATTGTGTACATTTCTACTGTTTCGACTTATATATGTTATTAATGATTTGAAATTAGGTAAAAATGCAGGGTATTTGCAATAAAATGAGTTTGGAATAATTTTTTTGGATCGAGGACAATTATTGTTAATTTTCTACTAAATAATAACATATTAACTCTTTCTTTCAAATCAAATTTTAAATCATATTACTCTGCAAACCTATAAATGGGTTCACAAGTAAAACATTCTTGGTGTATTATTGTACTTAATAATTCTTTTTGAGATTGATGCTGCATTTTTTTATAATAATAAAAAAAGATAAATGCAAAAGAAGACATATATAATAGATCAGACCGCACTCAACATGTTAATTAAAACGTTAAAGCGAACAAGAATTTAATATAATTGCTGTAATAATTTCTTACAATTGCTGTAAGTTTCCTAGTATATTATAGTATAAGCTTTTTCATTTATTAATTTATTAGAAATAATCTATATTCAAATCGTGATTGTCACAGAACATCAAAAATTGTTTTCCATCATCAAAGTGTATAAAAAAATGGAAAACCTAGTTTAACAAATGAAATCGTTTAAATAAAAAGTGGTCTACTTTAAATACAGATGAAAAAAGGTCGAATGCGTCTGGAAAAATCATATTTTTTCTGAAAGACAATTTTGAAATGTATAATTAATGCAACAAATCAAAACTATGTTAGAGCACTTGTAAATAACGAAATAATTCATTGTGATTTAGATTATAACTGTTATTACGGCATGATAAGACAAATTCAACCAGTGGATCCGTGTCAACAAATTAACTTCACGATATTAATTACAAAGAAATAAAAGTAGATAACGGGTATGAACTTAATTTTTAATACCTCTTCTTATTTGATTAAGACAGGCCAGCATCCTTATCATGAAAACCGCTGGTACGGTAATTGTATCTTTGGTTTCTTCAAGCATAACGGCATTCCTTTTTTTCAACTACAATCCAAGATTTTATTATAAAATTTCTCGTTTATTGATTGAAAAAAATAATATCAACTTACATCTTCAGCAAACTTCTCATCAAAATTCGACTCTTCATTAATGGGAGCCCACAGTTTGACGTCATAATCGATGCCAGAGGTGGCTAACATAGGTAGGAAGGGATGAGGTTGTACGCAATTAACAACGTGTTGATCTGCTTCAAGGAGCATACAAAGCTTTGCTGATTCGCGATCCCAGATGAATACGTGGCCGCAGTCGCTTCCCGACATCACAAAATCGTTGCCCCAGAAATTGGCTTCCTTAATCATCGTCCTAAAGAAACTATAGTCACAAACGAAGGGAAAGACAAGATATGAGAATAGAATAGGGGCTGATATCAACAGCCCACCTGTCCACTTCAGAGGCTTCGCTATTTACATGGGGGTATAGCAAGTCGTGCTGAGAGTTGTTTTTAGAGAAAAGATGAGTCTTTCTCACACAGAACGGGACCACCTTTGATAATTTTACGTATTTTTGTGATACCATCTCGTCCTCAATGGACTCGTGCTTGACAAAAAAACTTAGACAATGTTACGACTAATAAATGATGATGCTGGATGCAATATTATTCTTTACATTCTACTAGGTTTAATTTATCATAATATTATATCCAACTGAAAGTTACTTTCATAGTATAATATTATACATTTATAAAACAAGACAACATTTTGAGATGAGTTATTTGTGAAGTTAAAATTGCTCATTGTGAAGTTACGGTTTTATATTAAGGAATGTAAGTTAAGTGAAATGAATGATTCCTAGGGAAATTCATTTTGTGAAACTCAAGTATTATATGAATGACTGATAATCCAAATCCAGACATTTATGGCGTTTATAAAATCAACTCCGTTTGTTCTACGTGAATTAACTAGATTAAAAAATTCGAGCAACTTGGTAAAATCCCACCTTGCATTGCGATGTCCCATATACTTTTGTTTTACTTGAAGATCCGATAAACAATTATCATCTAAACTGTCTAAACCTTGGGCTGCTCTAACATTCTCTATAGCTTCATCCATTTCTGTTTCAATAGGATTGATTGCACTGTCAAGAAGACATGAAATATAAATAAATTAAGAAAAAATTATTGTGTTTGTTAGACAAAAGAAAAACTTACCGCCTGTCTTCATCGAAATCTTCATCATCACTGTCATTATAAACATCTTCATCTGTGGCTGCTTTGAAATAAAATGAACAGATATTTTGAGCAAAACCTTCTTTAAGTAATTGTTATTAATCAAGCTAACCTTCATGGGTTATCCTACAGGTAGGAGGCTTGAAGTTGGAATTACTTGGTCCCGGAGCAGAATAATTACTGCTGGAAGGTCCTACACATGCTTCTGCAAGAATGATTTCAGTGTCATAATATTCTTTTCTACTTTGCAACCAATATTAAAATTTTACCAGGTTGATATCCATCTCTTGTTACTTCATCTGCAACACCTAGAGAAATTGTAGCACTAGTAGAACTTTTATCTGAATATGTCAATTTTACAGCTGGTTCAGTACCATGTCTAAAATTAACAGAAAGAAGATTATTTAAAAATCATAGCTAAAGAAAAAAAATAAAAAATACATAAGTATAAAATTAAGATACCTTTCAAGGAATCCATCTCTCATAGTAGTTAATCTATCTTGTAAATTTTCCATCATATTGCTACTACTAGAATTACTTTCGACAGTAGGAGATTCAGTTTCATTGGAATTTTGTACATTGATAGATTCCATATGTGGTTCGCTATGGATCAAAGATAATACTTCAGAGCTTCTTTCTTCTGATTGATTATGTTCAATATCCATAGGCACTGGTAGCTCATCGACATAAGAAGAATCTAGAGTAGGATTATCTTGATCATTGGCTTCGTTGGCTGCAAGTTGAGAATTTTCTGCAATTTCTGGATTTATTTCCAACGTATTAGTTGATTCAGTATTCGTAGATGCTAATTCATTCTCTACACCATTGCTTATCTCTATTTGGTTACTAGAGTTTTCCTGATTGGTATCCTCATTATTATTGACGGTTCTATTAATTATGTTTTGTTGATCAATAACATTTTCAATACTCTCGTCACCAGCACTGCTTAGAGCAGCTCTAGTTGCTGGATCATTTAGCATTCTACTTAGTACATCAGTCATTCGTTGCATTAAAGAAGTGTGTAGAACTGGCCGTGCTTGAGCTATCTCTAAAATTAATATGTACATTCAAAAGTGAAAAAATGATTATGACAACAATATACGTTCTTTTTTCTACTTTTGATTAGAAAATATTACATTTTAAATTAAATAAATATTATTACCTGTTCCACTATGTCGACCACCTTCTCGTTCTGGTCTAGCATCGGGTCCCGTATCAGACCAATCACCACGTAATCTTAAACGTCGAACAGGCTGTGGAGATCTAAGGGGTGGTTTTTTACCTTTATTTTTACCTGACATCAATTCTTTTTTCAATTGTGTACTACCTTGTTCCTTTAATTGAGATTCAATAATTTACAAGTGTATATTGTACACTGTACTACAATGCAATAGATTGATATATATAAACTTACTTTTAGGCTGAACAAGTAGAGATGGTCACTACTATAACTGACAAGTACATCATGTCCATCAGGACTATAACTAAGAGATGTGATCCTACAGGAATTACCTTCAAATTCAGGAACAGTAAAAGTGCACAATGGCTTACCATTAATACCATTGTCTACCCAACCTTTTCAATTACATATGAATACATATAATTTTATTTCAATATTTTATACACTTATTTATAAGATATTAAATGTAAATGTACCAGTTGCTGGTGTTCTAAGCATTCTTCTATCAAATGTTCTTACTGTGCTATCAGAACATCCTATTGCAATTTGATGTGACAATACTGGATTGACTGACAATGCAGTTATTGCTTTTTGACATAAGATAAGGATATCCTGAATAGAAAAAAATATCCATTAATGAAGAATATCTCAACATCCTGTCTGAACAAAAAACCTCTACCTCTTTACATCTAGTAGCATTGCATTTATCTTTGATACGTAGATCAAACCACCTCACAGTACCATCTTCTCCGCAACTTAAAAAACTATGTGGTTCAGTAGGAATTGTTGCTATTTCATATGTTGTTCCACTATGACAAGTGAACTGGTTATTAAAAGTTTCTGTTTTCCTCATTAAGTCTGAAAATATGTATGCAACATTAATATTTTATCAAAGTTAAAACGTTTATTTAAACTTGATATATAATGTTAATTCACCTGTGTATAAAATGATACCATCCCCGCTACAGGAAACGATACGATGATCTCCGTTATTGGGCAAGAATTTGGCACTAAATATATTTGCTTTATGACTAGTTTTGTAATTTGTAAGTACCTAAAACATTAAACAATTTTTTAATAACAATATAACTAATAATTTTACTTTTCTTCATAAAATCAGTTTCAAAATTTATTCATAGATGCATCTATTGGCAAAAAATGATTCCATCAGATGGTGCTCTTGAAAGAGCCATGAATGTCAAAAAGATAAAAATAGATTAGACTCAGACGACATCTGAACTTAAAACTCAAGACAATCTTAAAGAAGCAACCTACAAGGTCTTTGTTTTAGTTATTGGCATTCTTTATCAGAGTGCATTTGAAAACCATAAAGATAATATACAAAACTCTAGAATCCATAGTATTAATTTCATGCTTTATAATCAATAGCATAAATATGTTTATTTATCTGCCTTACTTGATAATTGTATGTATTTGTTAGAACTAAATGTTGATCATCACTACCAGATAAAATTAGTTCTCCAGTATTATTCCAACAGATAGAGTTTACACAACCATAATGAACCTTGAGTCTTTTTAACAATGACATACGTTGTACCAGCTGGAGACTTGCTGAAAATGAAAATATGATTTGAACAGAATAAATATTGTGCATATAATGATTACAAAAGAAAAAGTTTGGATCGTTAACCGCATAAAGTAGGAGTATTTTTACTTACATTTGCTACTGTTGTACAGCTTGACCCTTGTATTTTCATTACAGGGCTGATTATATATATCGCGAAAGACATTAGATCTGTTTCGTCGCATTTTGTTCAATCGGTGACCAGAACAACGTTATCACGTACGTATACGTACATATGAGATGAGACTAACTAAGAATCGGGCAAAGTTGCATTAAAGAAAGATCACTCGGACGGAAATAGAAAGATACTTTGCAAATTTAAAATGATAAAATTTACTACGAACGTTGCCAGCTCAAAGTGACTATTATTATACACGAACAATTAGCTTCTAACGAGACAATTTAGTAAAAAGTGATGAAAATGAAAATGTCTACCAGAGCAGACGGGAAGACCAAATGTCCTCTGTTTAGTTATTGTGCCGAGGTGCAAGTCGAAGAACGGCATTTCACTGCGTAACGACGGTTCATTGCAATATAATTGCAGCGTTCAGTATCGTTTGGCGGAGCAGATCCGATGCATCACTAAAAATAATCAAGACACTTGGTTACCGTTTTGGTTCTCCCAAAATTTGCATACGCGACGAACATTGAACAAGAACAACTGATTGAGTCTGGTTGTATATTAAGCCAATGCATCTATAAATCTACAGTACAGTATGTACTTATAGTATAAGCTACGTTATCTGCATTCTGCGTGCGCTCTGGAAAACTGTGTAGGTGTACACATGTGTTTGACTACACCATGGCACAACCTTAAATACATTGAGAACAGCTGATTGCTGCGAGTGCTGCGCTGAAGTCACTGAGCCGCCGAACAGCGAACTAAATTAATAGAAAGCGGCCAGGAGGTGGCTGCATAATTTGGCTGGCGCGATATAAATGAAATACAAAAGAAAATGGTTTTCAAATCGACAACTTAACACCTACGGTTATCTACAGTTAAAAGGTGCATACGAAACTATTTTCATTAAATATATATATCAATGCAATTGCCTTTAAATTTTCATATGCTCTCTTCATATATGTCTAAGAACTTCTACCAAAGTTTAAATATTCAACTGCTTTTTTCACGTCAAATATTTCTTTGCTCTTGCTTTTCCATTTCCGTGGATTCTGTACAATTTCTTTTATCTTTCAGTTATAAAAATTAAATGTTAGTTTTATTCATGACATCATTTTAGGACACTATCAATTTACTTTAACCTTCTTGATACTTTTGTAGGTTGCTTAAGCTCTAAAGGGAAAAAAGGAAACTTCATAAATTTTTTCATAAATAAGCATATATTTGATTTTAAAATATTAGAAAAATATTAGTCAGATATAGCATTTAGATATCAATACTCTATTCACTTGTTTTTCAATCAAAATTTTTACATTTAATTGAGGTGAGTATTTTAAATACTATGAATATTTATCTTTGGAAGTTCATTAATTGCTTCAATTTTACAGGTCTCTAACAATCATGAGAATGAAAATAGGATACCAAGATCATCAATTCCTACTCTTTCAAAGTTTGATAACTTGTACATATTTTGCAGCAATATTACTTTTTTTGTATTTTAGTGGCAATATTTACAATGTTGGGAAGTACAAATTTATTTCTATATTGATAATAATAGTATTAGCCGAATTCGTCAAAATATTCTTAGCAAATTTACAGTTAGAACAACTACCTACAGTAAAGGTAGAACAGAATTATCTAAACAAAACCAAAAGAAATGTTACTAAATTTATTAAAGATACCTTAAAATTTAGTACAGTTGCAGCTATAACAATATTTATTTATTTCATTGTCATCGTGTTATTTGGAGCACCATTGTTGACTCATCATGAAGAGACATTGATGCTTGCCCTTACTCTAACTACTCTTACATTGATACCAACAACTTTTCATTTAGGCATTGAGAATATGCTCATCTTATTTACTGGAAGTCAATCGTTACCTCATGGAATACTTCTAGAGTCTATCACATTAAACATAAAGGCTGTTATATGTGGCACATGGTGTAGTGCATTTGTTATCCCACTAGATTGGGATCGTCCCTGGCAAGCATGGCCTATACCATGTATCATAGGTGCTTTATTAGGATGTTTTGCTGGCCATTTTATAACATTGATTAAAGTTTTAATGTTAAGATTAAAGAAAAAAAGATAAGTCTAGATTTTTTGATGAAAAAAGCTTGTGAAATAACAAGTATGCAATAAAAGATATGATTTTATAAAAAATATTGTTCATTTAGTCAATCGCATATTTTATTTATTATTTTATAATTATATAAAATCAATGTTATTGAAATCTCACCAATCAAAATGATTTCATTTCTTAAGGGTATTTAAACTGTAAATAAACTTACATTAATTTATAACAAAATCCGTCTTAGAATTTTTATTAACTTTTCTTATTACTAAAACTTTTAATGAATAACTTAAGAACTTATATTGCACCAGATTATTTGTCTTTATCTTTTACATTGCGAAATAAGACGAGATTATAAGAGTATGATATAGTGTACGTGGGTATATTATACCGGCATGATCGACTGGTGGTTATTCAATACTGGTCAATGATGTGTGTACTGCCGGTTGCGAACATTTATGTTCAGTAGAATAGAATTGTCCGTGGCAAATAGCGTGTAGTGTGCAGATTATATCACGCATCTAGCATAAAGACCTAGCGAAGAACGAGATTTATAAGCATTTGACCTCCACGAAGTCGTAATAAGTTGCTGGAATATTTCTTAATCAATCAGTTGTTTTCAACGCGTAACATTGAATCTATTTATTATTTCGCAAAAATTCGAACAATGGCGGATACTATCGGCAAGGTAAAACTGGAATATTTTATTGTTAATGTATTATATTAAATAAAACAGATTATTGTGTTTAGTTTCATACATTTCTATACAAATACTTAGCTCCTTTTAATGATCTACTTGTATATCGTAATTTATAATTTAATATGCGGCATGTTTGTGATAAAATTGTCCTGTTAATTTTTATTTATAAATATATTTTCAAGTTTAATAGTATATATGATTTGCTTATTAAATTTGTATCTGTATGATTATGTTTTAGGTAATTAAATGTCGTGCTGCTGTGGCATGGGAACCAAAAAAACCTTTGTCCCTTGAAGTCATTGAAGTTGCTCCACCAAAGGCTTATGAAGTGAGAGTTAAAATCACTGCAGTTGCACTGTGTCATACCGATGCTTATACACTAGATGGTTTAGATCCTGAAGGCATTTTCCCATGCATCTTAGGTCATGAAGGTGCTGGAATAGTTGAGAGTGTTGGACATGATGTTACTGAATTCAAACCAGGTATATAAAGGACTTTAGAATTTACAACATTTGATACAGACATGAAAAATAGAAGTATTTAAATTTGTGATTTGCAATAAGTACTCATCATTTTATTATTATATTATTTTTTAGGTGACCATGTTATCCCTCTTTACATCCCACAATGCAGACACTGTAAATTTTGCAAGTCACCTAAAACAAACGTATGCAGCAAAATTCGAGTAACTCAAGGAAAAGGTGTCATGCCAGACGGAACTTCACGTTTTACTTGTAATGGAAAAACTTTGTATCATTTTATGGGTTGTTCTACATTTTCTGAATATACAGTAGTTGCTGACATATCTCTTGCAAAGGTTTATCAATGATTCCTCTATATAGAATTAAGAAATATGCAATAATATTTCAAATATTTTTAAACAGGTAGATCCATCTGCTCCATTAGATAAAATTTGCTTATTAGGTTGTGGAGTACCAACAGGATATGGAGCAGCTTTAAATACTGCAAAAGTTGAGAAAGGAAGCACTTGTGCTATCTGGGGATTAGGAGCTGTAGGCTTAGCAGTTGCAATGGGATGTAAAACAGCTGGAGCCTCTCGTATTATTGGAATTGATATCAATCCAGCTAAATTTGAAAAAGGTAAACAGTTCTTTTCCATTATATATAAAATCAGCTTATAATTAATTCAAAATAAGTGTGTAAAATTGTGATAATTGTTTGTTTTTTTTTGGTAGCAAAATCATTTGGTTTCACAGAATTTTTAAATCCTAAAGATCACACCAAACCAATTCAAGAAGTTCTTATTGAAATGATTGATGGTGGTTTGGACTATACTTTTGAATGTGTTGGAAATGTTTTAACAATGGTAAACATATTCAAATAAGACTCAAATAAAATATATTATGCAAACAATTTTGTTATTTCAATTTTAGAGAGCTGCCCTTGAATCTTGTCATAAAGGATGGGGTGTTTCTGTGATTGTTGGTGTTGCAGCAGCAGGCCAAGAAATTAGTACACGTCCATTTCAACTTGTTACTGGTAGAACTTGGAAAGGAACAGCTTTTGGTGGATGGAAATCAAAAGATAGTGTGCCTCAACTAGTGCATCAGTATATGACAAAAAAATTGATGTTAGATGAATTCATTACACACAATTTGCCTTTTGACAAAATTAACGAAGGGTTTGAACTTTTACATTCAGGAAATTGGTAAGTTTTGTTTCTATATTCTTGAAATTTTTAGTATAAAGAAATCATTAACCAAGCATTATATTTTCAGCTTGAGAGCAGTCTTGTATTATTAAACAAATATCTTTTTGTACTTTGCACACTTTCTGCAATGAAACAGATGAAAAAATATATTTTGATATTCAATGACAGTTATGCTATAATTTTTTATGATTATTAAAATATTTATAGAACATTCCTTTTTAGTATAATATAAAATATTATCCCACAATCCTTTATGCAAGCTATTATTAGAATATAAATAACTGTTTACTGATTTCAATAAAAAGATATTTTTGAGAACTATAACTTAAAATAATTTTATGATTTGAACTCTTTAAATGGAATTGCAAAGTATTTAAATAAGTAAAAACCCATATTTAACGTAAAAAACAATAACTTAACTGAAACGAATAAATTGAAACGTAAGCGAAAATAGAAAAATATTACCTCTCTGAAAAGTCTGTATTTTATTATGTTTTGTTTAGTGAGTTTCGTATAAACGATTTTTTTTCTACAACAATATTTATTTTGTTTATTTATCAAGATTTCTTACAGCCATTGAAACATACATAATTACTTAAATAAATTGACGTGCGAGATAGCCCGGAATGAAATGTCAATTTTTTGCGCACCTTATAAAAACAAGTTACAATTTAAAATTCGAAAGCTTGTACATAATATATCACGAATATTATAACGTAATAAATAATTTTTGTGCATAAAAAATCCTTATCTATATTAAAATAAATATTTTATTTTAAAAACATTCAAGTTAAACAACTAAAATATCGATTTTCGTTAATTTGATAAAACTGTTATAATTTAAGATTCCGCAATAAAATATTCTTTATGAAAGTAAAACTAAACAGACAATTCAAAAGTACGATATATTTTAGGCAACATGTTACATGTATGTATTTTGTGACAAACTAATCGAGTATTATCATACTGTACAGAAAAATATATAAATTGAAATATGTAAAAGAAAGTTGGAGGAATATTTTCCATTATGATGAGTGTATTTACTGTAAGAATAAGTAGATATACCGGAATGTTAGTAGTTAGTAATAACGTTATCTTATAAAATTAGCTGTGTATATTACAGCAATAATGAAATAACTGTTATAATTTCTTTATTGGTATGAAATTTTTGCGCTCCATATATCAAGCAAAAACTTGCACAGTCGCAAGTACAGTAATTGAAATATTATGACTTATATTGATCTAATTGGTGTTTGGCTACACGAGTTTTCTATTATTTGTTTTTTATATTTATTTTTAAAGAAGCTTGGAGGGTAACTATTCACATAATCACATTGATATCATCTACAGATTATACATAGTGTGTATGTACTCTATATAATCGCTACGTTTTTTTCAATAATTTTTTTTTTCATATTTTACCACGTTTCACCTTAGGTAAAAGAGTCGAGTAAAAATGTTTATTGTTATAACGAATGCAGACGAACCACGACATCGCAATATTACTCTTCCATGTGCTTGTCTTTCATCGCATATTTACTTCGTCTTGTAAATATTTTTTCAGTATTTTATCCGTATTTTTTATTTAATCATGAAGCTCGTTCGATGTTAAATACAATAATTTTTGTGTAAAATCTTGTCTCAAAAAAATGCGGACATTCTTTAATGCTGACGCAATGTATGTATGTACTATCGTTAATCATAGAATATTTTGATGAGGATGGAGTCAAATCGCTCTGAAGAAGAGCACGAAAACAGCGGTCGGTCCCAGACACATAAATTTCATCTCTAATTTCGAACAAGTTATTTTTATTATTTTTTTGGTTGATTTATAATGTAAATTTTATGTAAATATACGAAAGCTGTTTTTTTATCGTCATAATTGTAACTACAATCGACAATTAGCGAGTATGAAATAGTTTGTTTTTTACGGCATAATATGTATATCTTACACTAAATTCAAGTCAAGACTGACATTGAGAAGAAAGGTCACGTTGTTAAAAAAATATCATAAATACATTGTCATGGAAAAATTTCATGATTGCAAATGATCGAATAAAAAAGCGATTATTTAAGATTTTAATCTCAAAAAATGATCAAATAGCAGCATCGTTAATGTTGCAATTGAAACTATATGATGCTTCAAACAATCGATGGATCTTTCCTCTTTCTCGGCCAGTTTTGACTTCGTGGTCGACATCGTAATCAATGAGTTGTAAGATCAAAGAACGTTTGGAATGACTCGTTTTTATTTCATTATCATTCAGAATGATCTTTCACGTTTGATAATAATTCTGACTTATTAAACTATTCATCGTACGTGAATTTATATTGACGTTATTTTTTCTTAGTTTATGCTTGCCACAAATGATCAGCCAATAGTTTTCAGTTTAATTTCGATTTTTTGTCACACTTACTCCATATTCTAAATCTTTCCTTGCCTGATTTTTTAGTTTCTTTTGTCTTTTGTTTGGTTTATTCTTCTTTTTACGACAAATTGCTGTGTACGCGGAAGTTATCTAAATCATCCAAAGACAGCATTGTGCATGGAGGTACCATGGATGGTATTCTTTTTATAACAAACGTTTCATTTCTAAAAGTTTCATGTATACAAATATTGCTATTAGGCTTTATCAAATTATTCAGAAACTTACAAATATACGTATAACATCCGAAAATGTTTTTCAAATTTACCAACTAATTTGACAACTCAAAATAATTCAACAATTTAACAAAAATAAAAATACATCATAACTTCAAGTATAGTTGATTCGTCATTAAATAGTTTATAAATTAATTGACTTTTCATTTGAAGTCTTGATATTCGTTAAAAGTATTTCGATTCTTGAAAAATCCAAATAAACATTAATTGTTTTTTATTAAATAATTTTTACAAACGTATTTTCGAAAACAAATATTAAGCTAAATATTATTGCTGTAATAACATGTACTCTATGCAATCGATAATATTGCGTGATCTACAATCAATAAATCGATGTGGACGTTTTTTATTTTGGCGTAACTAATAAAAAATATCATACTTATTATTCAATTAAATTAATGTTATAAACAATCTTAAATCAATAACATTATGTTTATTGAGGACGAAAATATAGAAAAGCACTTTCTAAATATCGAGGATGCATCATTCGATCTTTACATGCTATTATATCGGTTAACAAGATGATATAAAAACATTATTTGCTGGTATGTATATAAAGATTATTAGTTTGAATATTGTTGCTGCCGAGCAAACATTGACAGCAGAGCTTTCTGTAAGTACGTTTCCGTTTTTGCCATGTAAATGTTCGTATGGATTATTATTGCACCGCGCATAGTCGTTCGATAAGAACAGCTAGATCGTATAAAAGTAATTGAAATAAAACTCGTGAAAAAGTAAAAATAAATTGTGATATGCCATAGACGGAATAAATACTTTAATAAAACAAATGAATAAAACATCAATGAATTCTCAGAAATACAGTTGGAAAAATATATAAAGCATAAATAATTATTGCGATAGTCGGTTGAAATGAAATGAAAAATAGAATAGTCAATAATAAATATCCGATTGAAAAAATGTAGGTCGAGCCAGATTATGTGATGAGTATATAGAAAGTAATTGCGCCTCGAGGTACCTCCAGTCACAAAAACATATATTAGCTAGCGACGGAAAAGACGGGACAAAGGCATTAAATGTCTGGCTATTTATATAGAATATCGTTAAATTAGCGAGAAAATTAGCTCGGGTCTACAGATGTGCAAGTAGCAGCTAGCTACGTAGGAGTAGGAGCTCGCATGAGCTAACTCTTGTGCGCGCGCGCGCGCGCACTTATACTGGCTATTCAATTAGTGCCAGAGAGACTGCTAGGTCAGCACAATTTGCATTTACCACAAACAAACACGTCGCGCCTTAACCTACGTCATTCTGTTTTCCCTTCTTTTACAGCTTACAATTATTGTTACGGCTATTTTCTCTCTAAAAATCTAGGGGAAGATCTGCGGAACCCTCGAAGTCTCCTGCCGAATCTTCGTCGTCTTCTAAGTCGACACTATTTGTGTTTAGGCCGCCACTACTTATCTTATTCACGATTGAATCTGAGGAATGAAAAGTGATGCATTTGATCAATGACTTGGATGGCAATCACTCGCGCACTACGTGACTGGCTGACATTGCTAAACTCGATTACGATAATGAAATGAGAGAGAGAGAGAGAGAGAGAGAGAGAGAGAGAGGGCGAAGGTCGACGTATAAGTATAAAATAGCTTTGGATCAATAGACGCTGAATGAAGCAGGCACAAGTGCAGAAAATATTTGAGTGGCGCTTACAGGTAGAGCTTGGAACATTGCCAGTCCGAATGCACGAGGCAGTAGATGGGTGTACTCACCGCAGTCGGGCTTGGAGCCCCTGACACGAGTTCCGGCGAACTCGATGCCGTGCTGATCGACGCACCAGCAGAGGTTGAGGCCCCGGTGACACTGGGTGCTCTGGTAGTAGCCCCGGGAGTCGCAGCTGGGTGCCACCTCGACCGAGGAGCGTCGGCGCACCGCCGCGCACGGCCTCTCGGCCTTCGAGAAGCAGCCGCACCACTCGGGCCCGCTCACAAATATGTCACTGTGGGCAACGGAAAGAGGGCCTGAAAACGCCGCTGGCAGCGACAATGGTGGAGCCGAGCAGCCCTCTCGAGCGAGGGCGCAATTATTTACTCGACGATCCAGAAACACGTGGAATTGATCGCACGGCCGAAAACAAAGAGCAAAACGCAACGAGCAGAGCGAGAGATTGATGGGCGAATAGCAAACCTACCCGTCAACGTCGCAGGCATCGAGGAAGGGCTTCAGGCACGGCTCGTTCTGGTCGTGTTCCAGTCCGTAGAGCTCCAGCAGTGATATCTTGCCGTCGCCGTCGGTATCCAGATGGCCGAACATCCACCTCACCTCGCTCTGGCAGCCAATCGGGAAGTGACCTGCTGCACGAACGCACTCCCGTCGATAAGAGCGATAAGAGCGCGCAAGTTGTGGGTGATCGGGCCGCTCGGGCCACTCGGGCCGCTCGGGCCGACTGGCCGAACATACCTCTGGGCTTGCTGTGCTGGCGCCGGTGTTTCGAGTCGGCCATGACCACGGAGAACCAATCCAGCAGCCGATTGGCCATCGCCGGCCGCGACGAGGCTGGGCAGTCGGTGCCGCTGCTTCGCGGCTGCGTCGATTTCTTGTCCGTCACCTCGTTGCTCATCAGCTGCTTGTCGTCCAACTTTAGGCCGTTCTGGTTCTGTTGGCACAACATCGATACCTAAAGCTACGTGCTCTTCGACATCGATCGCGAGGCCTACTTATCAATCTGGCTGAGCGCGACCAAACAGACCGCGCCGTCGCTTAACAGGAGAAAGCCGCTAACGGCGCACGTACCTTGGCCCGCTTCGAGTACTTGAGGTACTGATAGTGGTGATTGTCATAATTGAAGTCTCGCGGAGTCAGAGTGATGTCGTGGTTGTTCTTGCCTTTGGCCTGCCCAGACTTCTGTCGCTGCTTCTTCGAATGGGCGCGAGAATCCGAATCTAGAGCGAGGAACGAGACAACAGTTTGAAGGAGATCAGGCGCGCGTATCAGCCGCTGCTGCTGGCGCGGACCGGCGGACGGCATGAGCAAAATAAAAAATTTCAAGTGAAAGCTCGAGCTGGCGGGCACCAGCAGCAGCGCAAAGCACGCACAATCAGTGACGCGCTGTATCTGAATAACAAATTTTATTTGTAGACTCGGCAGCGTCTCCTCGGCCACAATTTCATTTTAATTATTCAAAGCTTTTGTAACCGGCGGCATATAAGCAAGCGGAGGCAAAGAGAAACGCCGAAGCGCAGGCGGACTTGGCAAGGCGGACGAAGAAACGGCGCCGCGGCGCCTCAATGTATACCGTAGTGGTTGGGATTTCGCATGAATTTTCCAACTTACGCTTGCAGGGGCAGAAACCGGAGCAGTTCATGAGAACGGAGGTGTGATGAATGCAGTTGTGGTATTCCAGGCGACAGGGCGAGCTGTAGGTACGGTTGTCGCTTCCGCACAGGAATATCGGTTTCACTACGGGACACTCTTGGCACCTGCAACCACCGACAGAAATGTAGCTTGCTCGTATCTATGCCCGTATCTCGGAGAGGAGATCGACAAGCGGCATTTTCACACTACTACGCTGCTTGCCTCTACACCAATCGCGACACTCTATACCTCCGCATTCAATACTCTTTTTTTCCCTGCTGCTTCACTGTCATCGCACTTTTTCCATTCCGCGCGACAAAGTCGACGCTCAAATTGTCGATGCACGCATTTCTTATTCGGCACATTGGACAATCGAACGTGCATGCAAACTTTCATCTCTTCCGAAGCGAAACTCAAATTCAATGCGCTGACGAATTTTTTCATTTTCGCTTCTAAGATTCGACGCCCGCGGACTGCCATTTCATCTTCTTCAAGCTACTTTTTATGGAAATCGTGTGTTCGATATATATGCAACGATCACGTGCTCGGCGGATATCTATCTAACGTTCAATTGTTTGTCCACGAACTCACTTGGATTCGTCCAGATCTTCATCGTCGTCCTCCGAGTCGAAAAATGCGTCGTCGTCTTCGGAATCCACCGAAGCGTCCGCTTGGGCTTTGTGCTGTTGAACGGATTTTGACTTCGAAACTACGAAAGCTCTGTGAAAACGATTGGTAGAAGAAGAAAAAAACTCAGTCGTGTTCACGTGGAAAATAGAGAGAAACACGCGTCAAACTAAAGACGTTCATGCATCTAATATTGCTTTCATTGCATTGGCTTCACTACTCTCAAATTCACTCGAATTTCCCTTGAGAAATTCCTTTTGGCAATACTATTTTTAATTTCATGCGAATCTGGACTTGCGACTTTGGAGATGTAGTAGTAGCATTTCGCTAGTATTACAAAGCAGCGCGTCAATTAAAAATGGGCTCTAATCGGGAATTTTATAGCGCGTTTGTAAAGTGTTATTCTATATGGTACCTCGATTTGTGCAACTCTTTCTTGGAAACGCAAACCGCAGTGAAAGCATCTTCTAGCAGACAGATTTCAGACTTTTTGCAGTTCAATGGACGACACAGTTCATCTGAAAAATACATTTATACGTTTATTCATTCGATGAATAACGGCGGCAATTATTTATTCAAGTCAAAGTATGTAAATTGTTATAGAGCAACTCGAATAGCTAATTGAATTTGACATTTTTGTGCATAACATGATCAATTTTCTCGAGCAGATAAGTGAGAAATTTCAAGTTGGACTTACTATTGGGATCATGTATCCACCTCTTCTTATCGCCAGATTTCGTTGCTCTGAATTCGTCCTGAAAGCAAGCGAAGGATAAAAATGTTGTAACAGTCAATTCCTTCTGTGAATCAGCGTTTTCACTGGGAGGAGATTCTTAGGAAGCAAGAGGAAAAAGTTGGTGCGTAGAAAGATGGCTCGTGGAAGCGAAAAGGATAGAAAAATGATGGAACGATAAATACAAAGTAATTTGTGTAAAGATTGTTGTTGGTTTCGTTCCAAGTGAAAATGTTGTTTGACCAAAGGGGCAGATTGCGACAGTTGTACAACTGAATGTGGAAAAAGCGAGCAGGAAGAGGGAGAAAAAGGCTTTGCGCGAGATGAAAAGATGAATGAGAGAGGTAGAGAGAGAGAGAGAGAGAGAGAGAGAGAATGGGGAAGGTCGGTCTGGGGAGACGGGAGCAGCGGAAAGGCAGCGCGGGCAAGTGAAAACGAGGGCGGAGTGAAATTTTTGCAGCGCATGGAATGTGTAATCAGCTCTAACGAGATATGCAAGAAGAAGCAGCGGCGCGGAAAGAGTGGGTGGAGCGAGGGGGAGGCGAGTCGGCCGGCAGGCGCGCGCTCCGCTCTGGCGCGGGTAGTTTCAGTTTTTCGAACGTGCCGTCTGCCGCGTCGGAAGCTTGCTATAGTTAATCGCACGAAATTGTCAGAGAGCGAGCGAGAGAGGCGCGCGGGATCGATAGAGCGCCGCTCAACTCGAAACGACAGCTAGCAGCGGCAGCCAGACAGACGCTCGCAGCGCGAGAAGGCTCCGAGCAGATCGGATCCAGTGCAAACGCACCGCGACGTCCATCGGCCGCAAGGACACTCGACTGGCGCGTCAACACCGCTATCGCTTGCCGACCACCTCCATACATTTGCAATCCATCTACGTTCCTATCGATATTCCTCCTTTCCATTTGCAAGGGCTGTAGGCCGACGTAGACGTCGTTCCGTTGACTCGAGCGTCCAGCTGCGAGCGCACGTAGGCCCGGGCTTTGCGCGGCAGCGAGCTCGCGTCCAAATTACCGAGTGAGCCAGCGGCGACGCGAAAAACGGAACGCGGCCCAGCCGGCACGGCCAAAATAAGCTGGAAAAAAAAGCACGAGGGCGAGGCGAAACAAGCTCGCCTGACGAGACGTAAGTAAAAGTGGGAGATGGAGATAAGCGACAAATGGCAAGCCGAGGGGGGGCGCGAGTAAGCGCGCAACGCTGCGGCAAGCAAACGCAACGCTGCTTGCGTTCGTTTTAATTAGCTTTCAAAAATCAAGGGGCTTCTCTCTCCCTCTCGCTTTCTTTCTTCTTTCGTGGTCTTTTATTAGCTTCACGCGTACTTTTGCGCTGCTCGGTTACACCGAGAGCGGCGCTATGACCACGTAATTGGTCGGTCATTTTCTTCGTTCCGGAATAGTCTTTGATTGGATCGAACGAAAGGGAACGAAAGGATAGCCGCGCATGGATAATAATAATGCTAGCACGTGATTCGTTGGCGTTAAATAGTAGTGTCGCGAGTCTGGCGAGTCTGGGGCTTCGCTTCGCAAACGGTCTGCAAAAGGATTATTTCTAGAGTGCCTGACAGTATCTACAAGTATGGCTGCTTCTCGTAAGAACTCTTGCGAAAGTTCAGCGACAAACCCGTGTTCCCCTTTCTGCGCTCTGTAAAATCGTAATCTTCAGTTTGACCCTTGCCTCTTTGAAGAGACCTCTCGCTAATTGCCATTTTCACTTACGTTGTCAGCTTCGAAAACTCGGTTCGCGAAATCCTCTGATTAATGAAGATGACCTACTTGCAATAATTGCTCGGTCAAACAAAGTTGCCCGATGACTCATTTCGATGAAATGATAATTACGTTACAGAAGAATTGCCCTTGAGAATGAAGTGTGTCGACGAACGGCGCCTTCCTCGAAGGCACGCATTCGACGAGCATTGCAAAGATTATGCAAACGAGCCGACCGCGAGTCGCGCAGTCATATTGTGTGCAAGCTCGCAGGCCCAGCCTCAGAGAAGCCACGGCAATATGGGACATGCGTGGATGCGCTGGCGGCTGAACAAATGCCAAGAGCTGCGCGCCGCCTCGTTTTCCAGCAGGCTTGGCAAGATTCGCGGCTACCCACGCAGCAGCAGCAGCACGCGTTGTCTGCCTTGCCTTGGCACGTTACGCGCATGGCGCGGCACCCGTCCTCCGCGAGAGCTCGCTCAAGACCATTTCTCCTGCGCCGCTTATGGTTTCGCGCGCGCGCTCACTCGACACGCCGCCTGGTCCTCTGCAATTTCGTCGTGAATTTCACGAAAATTAGCTTTGCCAACTGCACTTGGACAGTGAAAGACTTCTCGTTGTTTCGACCTTCTCCGCGGAAGCGACTGTGATTTGCTTGTATTACGAGATGCGAGACGCGAAGCTGCGTTCGAGCAAGCGGGATTAAAAGAGCGTACGATAGAGAGTTAACGAACAATGGAATCGGCGCGCGAAAAAAAAAGAAAAAAGAGGAAATGGGCGACTGATCGAGTCGCGCGAACGAGTCTCTAAATTCAATTACGGAGTAGCAGTCGACATCGAAAGAGAAACACGAAATCGCTAGCTCATCCCTTAATAGCTTTTACTCGCGGCTGCATGCGGCCTATAGGTATATATATGTGTGTGTGTGTGTGTGTGTGTGTGTGTGTGTGTGTGTGTGTGTGTGTGTGTGCGGGCGGCTCGCAGCTGGGGGGCACTTCGTCTCCCAAGTTCCTTCTTTGGCCCATGTTGGCTCCGCGTTGCTATACATGTCCCCACGCGTATTCGCGCTCTCCGCCGCCGGTACGAGCTTTTTATCGCATCTCCACGCAGCCACACAACTTTGCTCTCAGTCTTGCTGTATTATAGATACACCGCGCGCATTTTCATTCGTTATACACGAGTAACCGGCTAATGTGTTTTGTATTACATCACCACTTTTTACGCCTCTCATTGCCTCTTTTATACTTCATTTTTCTCTACTGTGCTTGCTTGTATTTTTTCCTTTTATTAATGTTATAGTTACTACCTAAAGTCATCAAAGTCATACACCCGACCACTTTCACAAGGGTGACGTGATCGCATACGTGAACCTACGTACTTTTTATAGACTAATTGCTGTGATTGTTTCTTCGATAGTTATTTACATTGGAATGCAAACCCAACATAAATAATAATAGGATTATTATTCAATATCACACAGTTACTTGAATCGAAATATATCGAATATATCGAATATTATATCGAATAACCTGAACCAAACCCAACCCAACCCAACCCAACCTAACCCAACCCTGACGAGGACACCTGTAGCTTAATAATTATGCTGAAAACGTACACTAGTATTATTCATTAGCTAGGATGTTTTAAAAAGGAATAAACAATTATCTCGTACCTTCGATCGGCGTACACCGTTTTCAGCGCCCGCTCTCTCTTTCAGAGATCATTTTCAACCGCGTAAAACCTACAGTTCATCATTGTAAAGCTTTATTCAAATCACCCACTGATATGATCATATATACGAAAAATTTCATCTATATAGAACAAGCATGCTGCTATTCGATATTTTCGCACGAACAAATCCTCACTTTTCAATATAAATAAATAAATAAAGCTTTACATAAAAGTGAATGATGTGTATGGAGGTAATGTAGCGCGAATCGACCGAAAAAACAGCAATTGAATAAGATGTTTTGTTACGTCATTCGCGTTATGCCATCTAACTATATTTCATAAATTAACTTAAAACGACTGATAATGCAATAAGTTCTTCCTATTGAGCGTTTCCAAAAAAATCTATCTGAGGTCGGATAAAGCATCATGTAGCAAAATTCAAGTTAAAGCAAAATTCAATAATTTTAATGAAATTTTTGCCCGACAACATTTGGCTACTTGCCTGACTCAAGCGAGGCTGTACTACTTGCTTCCGTGCGGACCTCTCCGTATTGCAAGCAATGTCGAACTTGTCAATTATTCGTTGTGCTACTTTGAGCCTTAATAAATAACAAGACATAAAATAATCATGTGGTTTTTGTTGAATAATACCGAAGGCGACTCTTGCACCAAATTGTGCTATACATAATGTAAATTGTTGCACGTAGTCGCTAGGCCTAAAAATAAGTATATCGGACGTTCGAACGTTTGCTGGATATACGTTGATGCGTTTACGTGGAGCTTGTTCGCAGAGGCGAAAAAGTGCATAAAGTGCAAAATGGAGTGATGCTTGTGAAAAGACAATATCCAATCTGACTGAGTGCAAAATCTTGTAGACGTAGCCCGATCGATAATCATCCAAACCAAGTTTCCCGGCGAGTCAGTCAAGTTTTTGTGTTTGATTTGGACCGAAGTGCTCCTGCTACGAGAAATCTTTTGTACTTGATCGTTGCCATCGGTGATCGAAGCCGAAATGCTCGATCGGACAGCCGTAGGCGCGTGCATTGCACGTGCGTACCTAGTGTACGATGATAAGCTGATCGAGGCAGTTGGTCGTTTGAGTTTGAGTTGCACGCAGCGTCAACCTGCAGTAAATGTAACCCAATTGAATTGTTTACTGAAACGGTTACTCTTGGGAAGTTGCGAAAGATGTCGCACAGTCTCGAGACTGGTTATAACGCCAAGTTTTAACGACTTGTAAACTTGACTCAGACGCCTCTCGCACGGCTCAGCTAACTAAATACAAAATACGAAGTGCTCTCGTTAGATGCACGCACTAACTTGCCATTCTTAATGGGTTGGCAAGCTTATACGTATGTACACCTAGAACAACTGTTGTCTTGAAAGAACCGAGCTCGACGCGCGATCAATTGCAAACTTTCTTCTTTGGATTTTTGGATTACGTATCCGAACAACCGACTAGTCCGCGAGCGTGCGGAACGAGTCGTCGGGGAGGCAAACAGATTCGCGGAATTAGAATGTCGCCTCGCTGCGAGCGGCGTTTCATTCGCAATCAGAGGCCTGCACATGCTTTCGGAGCCAGCCGTGCTCGGTGCGGCAGATGCGCCAGTTTCCAGTCGCGAGCGAGAACGACGCCGAGGGTACGATGCAG